TGCAGTAAGCTTCAGCCTTTGGGTTGGCCCCTTCAGCCTTCAGTACAGATATCCTCTGTACACTTCCTCATCAGACTGTGGCTGACCACTGTAAACTGATTGTATTTTCTTATACATTGTATATCTTGTGTTATATTTCTCTAGTAAACAGCAATTCTGGGCAACAAAGGCAAGGCAGAAGGCATCACAATCCTTAACTTGAAACTATACTACAAAGCTGCTGTGATAAAATCAGCATGGCATTGGCAAAGAAAGAAACCCAAGGTTCAGTGGTACAGATTAGAAAATGGAGACACAACTACAAAGATACTTAGTCACCTCATCTTTGAGAAAGGGGCCAAACATACTCATAGAAGAAAAACACCCTCTTTAATAAATGGTGCTGGAAAAATAGGCTTTCCATATGCCAAAGACTAAAACTAGACCCATGTCTATCAATCATTATGCACTAAAGTCAAAATAGATGAAGGATCTAAATACCAAAACATAAACACTACATCTAGTGCAAGACAATGTAGGTAGAAATCTTGAAGATTCTGGGGTAGGCAAAGAGTTCATGAACAAAAAGCAAACCACACGGGAAGTATTTCAAAGAATCAACAACCAGGATTTCATCTTATTAAAATAAATTATCAACAGAGTGAAAAGAAACCCCACAGAATGGGGAGAAAAATTAACCAACTGCCCTTCAAACAAACGATTTATATCTAGAACTTCTAAGATTGAACACACAGATCTCAGATGAAAAAATACAAATGACAAAGACAAAGCATGTTTTCCTGTGAGTTGGCTCTGCCATGGCGATCAGGAGACTCAGCAAGATGACTAAGCATGCCTTCTCCCGAGCCAGGCTCCAGCCTAAGATCAAGAGGAGATGCAACAGGAAGAAAAGCACGCCTTCCCAAGAAACCAGAAGAGAACCCCTCCAACCCCTCATTGCTCGGTAACCGACTGGCGGATTCAGAAGACTAAGGGCGAGATGATAGCAACTGAGGTAAAAGGAATAGCTAGATGCTTGTTGTTTGACTTTGCAGGCCTGGAGCTGGTGGTCAGGGCATTTATTTAGAGGATGGCAGTGTACATGGTGGCAATGGTGGGGGATTTCCTTATCTTGTTTTTGAAATCCAATTTTTTTTTCCATTTTATTGTTTTGTTTTATTTCTGTATCTGGTAACCTGAGCAGCTATTCTAAAGATAACAATACAAAATATGACAACCACTGTTAATTTCCTATCATCATGTTTTGAAAACCTAATAGCTATTGTTGTTTTGCTTTTGTTGCTGGTTTTTTAGGTTGTATGCATCTTGACTTTTCTGTTTTTTTTTTTTTCTCCTTAAAATAAAAAAATGTGTTACGAAGCTTGTGAATTAGGAAGAAAAGAAAAGACAAACTGTGATGGGGAAAGAAGAATAGGTTAAAGGAAAAAATATATGTATACACAAGACAGTTAAGGTACTTATACAGCTAACTTCTTTTTGATCCTTTAATATTTTGTGTTAATATTGTTTTTTATCATGCCTATGTTCTGTACCCTGAATAACTACAATAAACAATGTATCAAGTATTTTAATTGTCCTACTATCATGTTTTGAAATTCGTTTTGTCTGTTTTTTTCTCTTTAAAATAAAATTTAAAAAATACAAATGACAAATACATGAGGAAATGTTCAGTATCACTGGTCAATCAAGAAATGTATATTAGGGGGCTGGGGATTTAGCTCAGCGGCATAAGCGCCTGCCTTGCAAGCAGGTAGTCGTGAGTTCGATCCCTGGTACCGATAAAAAAGAAAAAGACAAAAAGAAAAGAAAAGAAATGTATATTGAACAACACTGATATTCAGTCTCACTCCAGAAAGAATGGCTGTTATCAAGAAATCAAAAACAAATGCTGGCAGTGCTACAGGGAAAAAGGAATCCTTTTTTATTACAGGTGGAAATGTAGACTGGTACAACTACTGTGGAAATCAGTGTGGAGATTCTTCAAAAAAGGAGGATCGGAGGTCCCATTCAATCCTGCCATTCCCCTGCTGGGTACTTTCTCACAAGAGTTGAAAACACCATGCCACAGTGATATATGTGCACCCATATTTACAGCAGCACAATCTGTAGTAGCTAAATCTTGGAAATAATCCAAATGCCTATCAACTGTGGAATGCATAAAAATATGTAGTAATTTTATACAATGCAGTATTACTCAGTCATAAAGGATAAACTCAAGGCTTTTATAGGTAAATGGATACAACTTCAGACCATTCTCATAAGTGAAATAAATCAGATTCGTATGTGTAAATATCTTATGGTCTCCCTAGTATGAAAAAAATCAAACTGAAAGAGTAAATAAGATCTAAAATGTAAAATAGGCATTGCGAAAATGAAAAGGAAATAAAGTGTTCAAAAGTAAAGATCAATTGAGATAGGGAAAAGGAGAAAAGAAAAAAGGGAAAAGATTATATGCATATATATGTATATATATATGCATGTATGTACAAATTATATAGATGGGTAACTATACTACTAATCTGTTAGCTCATCAAAAAGAACAGTTTGTGCTTTCATTTTTGATCAATTTTTTCAAGCCTAAATGTTATGAACAACTAGTTTTAAGACAACAATATGCAGTATATTAACTAATGTTAATTTCCTATTTTGTTTTGAAATTCTGTATCATTTTTATCCTTTTTATTAAAAAAAAGATAAAGCTAGAAATTATGATCCACTTATTTCCCTTCTAAGTATCTTTCACACAGGTACAGATATATTACAGCAATATATGCACACCAGTGTTTGTCTAAGAGTAATTTATCATTGCTAATTGCTGGAAGAAGCAGGTATGTTCATCAACAGATGAATGAATAATGAAAATGTGTACCTATCCATAATGGAATATGACTGGCATTCAGCTATAAAGAATAAATCAGAAGCATTTGTAGGCAAATGGATACATCTGAATACTATAATGTCCAGTCAAATAAATGAGACATACAAGCTTAAATGCCCTATGTTATTTCACTTGAGTAAGGCAAAGTAAAAATAAAGAGCAAAATGAATGACTGATAAAAAGAGATCTTTTGTAAATGGGAAAGGGTCCAAGAGACAAAGGGGAAAGAGAAAGGTATAAGAAGTAAAAAGATTTAAGATGCATCATATACATTTACCAAATACTCCCAACAAGAACTAAAAATAACAATAATAATGAAAATGGGGAAATCTAGAGACAAAGGGAAGGAGGTCGGTGGGAGGAAAAAGGGAATAGATAATAATAAATACATGTGACGTACATGTACCTACTCCCTGAAATGAATGTAAATTTTATATACTGTAAACAAAATAAAACTAATGACAATAAAATAACCTGCCTATTGGTAGACTAATCAATAATTCTCAGTTTCTAGGAGGCTCACATCTCCCATGTTGTAAGAAAAGAAGATAGAAGAAAAAAAAAAAGAAGATAGGAGGGAGGGCAGAAGAGGAGAAAAAAAGAAAAGCATGAATCAAACTTCCGAACAAAATTTCTTTTCAATCACAGAAGTGAAAATCATCTCTGTGTCCTAAGGATGTCTTTTACCACAGTGTAATACTCCATCGACACAAATTCATGGCCACCCTATAGTTGCAAGGAGTTTTGCTAGAAAGTGACATAAAGGATTAAGGTTGCTACTGAATGTGAAGAAAATTACAAAACATTCGTAACATCATTCTTAATAGTCAATGTCAGATAAAGATGAAGATTTCTTCTTCACGAGAAAAAAATATTCTATCTTTTGGATTATAAAGTCTTATGTATTTGTGTTTGTAATTCAGGAAAATATTTGAAAATATACTACCCACAGAAAACCAGTAAGTTTACTTAAACAGTAATATTCAGCTTGCCAATCTCTAGACTGAGAAACTACAGCCTATGGGCCACATATGGCTGCTGTATGTCCTTGTATATGTTCAAAACATATGATAAATGTTTAAATTTCAAAAATTTATTACAGTAAAAAACACTGCCATTTATATCCCTCAAAATACTCTCTTGCTTTGATCACACTTATCCCACTGTTCTTGTGACTTCCTGAAACACTTCTACAAGTCCTCTTTCATGTTTTTATGAGTGAATGCTGATGCCATGTGATACCCAAAGGAAAAACAGGCACATAAAAACATTACAGAATTTATCTATTGGTTGCACTATGAAAATTCTGCTTGTTCCCCAAAGTCAAAATCACCATAAAGGATAAACATTTTTTAACTGATTCAGGACATCAGATTGCTGTGACAGTGCAACTAAAGACACTCATGGAAGGAGACTTCCAGAACTTCAGACAGTGACCAGAACAATGGGATGAATGGGTTGAAACGCTGGGGGAGGTCTCTGAGGTAGATTAAGGACAATGTGTCTCTTACTGTAATAGAAGCTTTTAAAAAATACTTAAACATTAACTGTATTTTTAATGTATATGAAGTTTTGATTTTGTTTTGTATTAATAGTGACTGAAGCCAGGGCAGCCACACTGAGTTACTACTCTGTATTTGTTGTTTTAGTTTCCTTAAACTGGCCAGGCGGTGCTCAAACTTCATGTCTCCTCAGTCTCCCAGAGGACTGTGGTTAGAGGCACACACTACCACACTCAAGATTCTTTGTAAAAACACTGGAACACAGTGATATTAGCACATGGCTGTATTCAAGCTAGACTCACAGATCTGAGGGGCTGCAACAGACATCAGACCTCAGAGCCTGAGGAATCACTCCGACCCTCAGATGACCCTGCTGTGTGTCTCAAGCTCCTGACTATAACATAAACACCACCACAAAGCCTGATGCCTCATGTGAAAAGTGAGTTCTTATGCTTCCAGTCTGTCTTGATACTGTGGGTAGACTGGCCCTATAGACACAAGCATTACAACTTTCTCCATCTTCAAGCACCACCTTTGCCACTGCCTGTATGCTCAGTAACCGTCTGATACAAGACACTTTCCTTTCACAATGTAAGGAGCTTCTTAACTTTCATACTTACAGATGTTCTTCAAGCTTCTTTTTTAGAAGAACTGACTGAAAATGGAAAATAAAAATTAGTTTATTAACTTCTAAACACACAATTTTTAAAAAATTAATACAGAAGTAACTAATTTTGAATCAGCTTTTCTAATTTCTTTGGTCAAAGATCTCAAAACAAAGTAACTGTGTCTATTCCCTTTCACAAAGGGAGAGAGCAGCCAGCCCATAATTGGTAGCCAATTAATATAAAATGCCCAGAAACTAGAGATTTCAGATTGCCACCTGTAGTAAAGAAAACAAACTAAAAAGCAATAGTTCCAGACAGTTTATGTAACAGAAAGGGAACTAGGTAAGGGTGTTCAATAACATGCTTAGATTTTAATGCTGCATAATACAGGTAATTGTTTTTGTTTTGTTTTTGTGGTTCAGGCTGGCCTTTTTTGCGGTGATATCCCTGCTTCAGACTCCTGAGTGCTGGGATTATAGACACACCAGGATGAATAATGAAGTTTTGACTAGATGTTCTTTAAAAAAGGTCTCCTGAAAAACAGGAGATCAAAACTAACCTAAAAATGAAGAATAAAAGTATTCCAGATAGGACCACTAAGTTTCATAAACACACCTAAAGGCATTTACTGATAATGAATTTTATAAAACATTTCATGTTGATGTAATTATGTAATTCAGTTAAACACAGATTAATATAGGCTTATAAAAACAAACTGTGCAAACTGATCAATAGTATCAACAAGGGGAGAAAAACCCCTCATTAGTTCTTTAACTTTTAACTGCCTTATTTAATAATGATCTCTATAAATTGTTTTATTCATGTCAATTCTAACACGTTTTAGAATAATTCAAATTAAGTTCTTTGCTCAGTTTACTTCTACAGTTTTATCAGTAGACCACAATGTCCTCTGTCCCTAATTCCTACAAATATACAAGACATAACCCTTTTAGCTTTTGACTATTACTTGTCCCCTCTTATTAGAAAGAGTAAAATGTCAATTCTTTTAAAGAAGCGCCTAAGTTTAATTTTGCACTTAAGCTTTGATTAGACTGTAGCAAAATTAACTCTAGAGAAACATATAAGTAAGTGTTTAATATGGCAGGTATTGCACTGAAGCATGTCATATACTGCTGTCTTATGTAAACTTTATAATACTGTACTTCCAGCTTACAAATAAGGAAGGCAAGGCCAAAGAAAACTTAAGGAAGTTTCACCAAGTAGAACCAAACTTAAGTCAGGTGGTGCCAGATCCCAAAGCCCACACACAACCTTAATCTCTCCAGTCCTGTGGTTCAGTGCCACCCTGTTATCAGTAAAATGTTTGGCAAGAGAAAGCCAGATGTGCTAAAAACCAGTTAGAATAATGAGAGCAGTAGTAAAATGGGAATGGGGTGATGAAGACTTCTGTAGAGAATGACTTTTCAAAATTTTGATATCCTTTAAGTATCTTAATTGTAAAGGGCATAAACCTATCAGGTAAGTAATATTACATAGTCATTTTGCATCTATGATGTCAGATAATGTAATCTACAAACTGTTCAATATATAGAAATAAAGAGGAAGCCATACTTACAATAGCCTTGAGCAGAAACCATGCCAAGAGACAGAGAGGACATATTAGTATGAAGCAAATACAGCAGCCAATAGAAGGAACGATTTAGTAATTCATAAACTAGGAAGTAAAAGATACGTCTTTTTTTCAGAAATGAACATTTTTCTTTCTTCTATGGTCTCATCCTGTCTTGTTTTCTGGAGTTTTATATACTGTGGCTAGCTCAAAGTATCCATATGACTGGATATAACAATGTTTTTCTGCTTCCATGCTAAAAACAAATGACATAAAAATAATAAAAATGTGTAAACAATCTGACTCTGTCTGACCTAAAGTCACATGAAAGGACTAAGTTTGTTGTTGTTGTTTTTAATTTTTGAGACAGAGTTTCACTACATAGTTCAAGCTAGCCTTGAACTCACTATGTAAGCCAGGCTGGCCTTGAATTTGTAGCAATCCTGCTTCAGTCTCCTAAGTGCTGAGATTACAGGTGTGGGCCACAATGAGGATTGGACTGAGTTTTTGATGCAAGGCAGAAATTATGTTGCTGTTCTTTGGTGAGGACTAATTCCACCTGGCAGGATGCATCCTGAGATGCAACACTGTAGCTTAGTGAATACAAAAGAAGAAAACATCCAAAGAATGCCAGTAGGGTAGAGGTAGTGGTAGTGAATCACATATCCTGTACTGCACTATTTATTTCTCTTAAGTCATTTATAGAGAGAGCTTCAAAGCAGAAAATTTTTCATCTGCATCCTGTCTACATACAGAAAGGAACTCAGAGGACCTCTGTGCTTAATTCACAGGAATGCCATATCACTTACATCTAAGCAGTCAATAAATAGAACAATTCATGCAAACAGTATTGATAGGGCTGGTAATTTATTTATGAAAGATGTGTTCAAATGCCCCACAGCGTATTTAACTAAATTTGCTATCTAACCAGGCACTTGCTTGCTCTATCTCTCTATCTCTTTTTTTCCATCCATCCCCAGATCACCTGCACTGAGCTCTATCTCCCAGCCCATGTTTATTTTTCATTCTCAGACAGGGTCTTAGTGAGTCACTAAGTTGACCAGGCAGGGCTCAAACCTGTGATCTTTCTGCCTCAGCCTCTGAGAGACCCCCATGCCAGACTATTTTATATATATATGTATATATATAAACTTCTAGGGCTTAGGGAATAGCTCAATGACACTGAGTTTTTACTTAACATGCTCGCATCTGAATCCCAGCACTATAAAAAACAAAAGAACAAGTAATAAGCTCTTTTATGTTTTAAAACAAGAGAACCAAACACAATGCCATCACTGTAACACTAAAGTATTCACAAGTCTCCTTAAATTTTTAGAGATCAGAATGAATTTTACTTAGTTTAAGGGGCCTAGAGATGTCAATGAATTAAATAACTGTTACATCTTGTGGTACATCTCTAAGGAATTCTTAATTCGACCTAACATTGTATTATATCCAGAGTCAGTTTGTTTTGCTTCTTTATGATTTAGTGTTTTGGATGAAACATACTTTTTGACACTGACCTGGGGAAATGGTCTCATAGAAAAGTGCTTGGTTTAATGCCCAGAACCAGAAAACAACAACACAACCCAGAATATAAGGTAAAAAGCCACTATAAGCCAGTTATTTTTAATAAGGGCAGAAGGAAGTTTAAATGCTGGTGGAACGCTAGAAAAGTAGGAACCAATTTAAAATATAAAAGACCACAAACACATTTATTAAGGGATAAAATAAAATCACTATCAACAAGGCCCACTGCCAATATAAACTAGATGCATGTATGCAGCAAATGAAAATTTGGTTTCATATAAACTTTTTACATGTAGTATTCAAGTTTTAAGTAACTAATTCCCCCTCTTAAATTAATAATGCTGAATGGACAAACAAGTTTTGAAGCTGATCCCCAAAATGACTATACCAATGACAAGTCAAGCAGGTTTATTTTCAAAGGCAAGAGATCATAAACTTATCACACCACAAAAAAAAAAAAAAAAAAAAAAAAAAAAAAACAAAAAAGCTGACTTGAAGCAAAGACGGGTCAATAAAATTTACTTTTCCCCCTCTTCATACTAAATCATAGTTTAAACCATAGTTGTGTACTATACATTGCTCATTATATGTGTCAAGGATTTGCCAACAACAACTTACGTTGTTGCTAGGCACCAGTAACTACTGGGTGCCCACTCACCACTGGGACGGATGATGGCAGCATGTTCAACTGAGCACATGTCATATCCCCCAGGACTGTGCCAAGCACAGAGGCCGAGCTATGCAAGATGCAGAACACTTAAGGGACAGAAAAGCTGGGGTGGAGGCATACCCCTCTAGTCCCAACTATCCAGGAGGCAGAGGCAGGAAGATTCCAAGTTCCAGGAAAGCTTGGGCAACTCAGTGAACTGCTATTTCAAAACAAAAATAAAGAAAGAGCTGGGATATAGCTCAGTGACAGTGCTTGCCCAACACATGTGCAGCCCTGGGATTTTAGGGACAGCACTATTTTCTTTGCCTTTTCTCCCTTTTTCTTTTGTGGCACTGTAGATTGAACCCAGAGCTTTTGCACTGAGCTACACGCCCAATGTATTAAACATTTTTAAAAATTTTGACACAGGGCTATTCTCAGTCACTCAGACTAGGCTCAAAGTTGCAATCTTCCTGCTTCAGCTTTCCATAGTGCTACAAAAACATACCTGGCTAGGATTATTTTCTTAAGTATGAAGTTTACATTAACCTCCCCCCAAAAAATCTCTACTTGAACAAGCTTCTTTTGCTTTTGATCAGAGTGTGAAAAGCCTACACTTCACCTCTGATACTAAGGCAAGCCCATTTAAAGCACAGAGCTTCAAATTAACTTTTTCCTAATAAGTAAAAATAGATTTCTATTCCTAGCAGAATGAATCTGAAAGACAATAAAATACTATCTGATATTTTTTGTATGTCATGTTACAAGAAAAACACTATTTCTTTTCTACAATTAGTATAATGCTCCATTATTTTGATAGAGCTCATCAAATAAAAAAAATGTTACAGCTTTTTTCAAAACTGTGAAACTTTTGGGCCATGGCAGGTACATATTAAAACTTACATCTTCTGCTTTTGAGCCTTGATCCTGTAAAGATTTCTGTAGTTCTTCAACTTGTGACTGTACTTCCAAAAGTCTTTGATTCACAAGCCTAGAAATCAAATGTATATTAATTTTCGAAGTACAGACTTACTTATGTGTTTTTTCCTTTGGTTGTCATGTTGGTTACACAGCAAATATCATTAACAGACTAAAGCTCACGTCATAGTAATAGTACATAGTAGCAGTAGCATAGTAGGAGTTTCACATTGTAAGCTTTTTTTTTTTTTTTTTTGCGGTACCGGAGATCGAACTCATGACCTTGCGTTTGTCAGGCAGGCACTTATGCCACTGAGCTAAATCCCTGGCCCCAAGTAAGCTTACTTTTCATATTATTTTTGTATTGCTTGATTTTTTTTTCTCCAAACAGAAACCTAATTATATTAAGTTGAATCAAACACACACACACACACACACACACACACACAAAACCCAGTACCAAAAAGTGAATATAGGTAAGCAAAAAAGAACAGCATACTAGAAGGGCATATTAAGTTTACCACAACTTATGGTGCCCCAAGTATCACTGCAGTGAGGCAACTTGCCTCAGGTACATGGCTGGTTAGTCACTGGATTGGGGATCCCAGTGTCAGCTGTCATGACCGCCCAAGGCCTGTTCTGCACCAGATGATGTTACAGCCTGAAGAGGACAGGGCTCCAGCTGGCAGAATGGGCCACAGCTTCTGCTGCTATTGCTTCCTCTGAGCTCTGTGGAGCTCTTTTATAGGGTGGCCAGTGTGGAAGTCCTCACTGGGTATGACATCTCGGGCATGTGAGCTGACTGACTTCTCTCAGCCTGTTTCTCATCTAGAAAGTTTGATGTGAGCTGACTATGTCGGTGTTTCCTGAGGAGCCTGGAATTTTGAATGAGGATTTCTAATAGTCTTTTCTTAGAAGCATTTTTTGGAAACCAATATGTCATCTGAAATTCACTTTGATATGTTTATGCAAAGTATGTCTGGCACTGTGCACTAGTGTCTAGTAAAGAGGTAGAAGGTCAGGAAGAGAGCACAATGACATTAATACTTCAGGACAGTGCATGGAGATGCATAAAATAAATGAAGACAGGGTAAAGCAATCGGTGCAGAAGTTAAGACAGACTTGACCTAAAATGAGACTAAAACAATAAATACTTCTGTGATGAAGGGTAGGAAAGGGATTCAAGAGAGTTCAGTGTGTCCAAAAATGCACAGCAAAATGAGGTGTACAGTGTTCAGCAATGGCACGCCTAAAGAGTAAGTTCTGAGGGGAAGGTGGACAGTGGATGAGAAAAGCACTGGATTTGCTCCATCTGTATGTTGTGTGAAATGCCAGGTATCTGGAATTTATTCTATGATCAATAATCCTCTAAATTGGCTGAAACTGGAATAAACTGAACAAACTTGAATGATTATTACTCTGAGTGTCATAATTTCTCTGGCTCATTATGATGCATGCCTCAGTAACACAGTTTGATTCTCTAGTCTTCGGTAAAAGCAAAGAATTCTAAGAAACAGAAAACATGATGTGAAAGTATTTTAGAAAGATTATGTTGATTTTTAGAGTGGGAGATGTTATTGGGAGGAGACTCTCATAATTGTTATTACTGAATATATCTGAAATATAAGGGAACTTATAAAGAAAAGTTTTTAAGAAAAGGCAAAAGAAAATAAATCAAAAATAATACTACGGTTTTGGGTATTTACTGAGAAAGACAGAACAAACCGTTAAGAAAGTGAATATAAAGTGTCTGATTTTGTATTTGTTGAAGATGAAGTGCTTAAAAGTTTGTCAAATAATGAGATGTCTGAAAGTGAAGCAGAGGGAAATGTCTGAGTTGAACGTACACATTAGAGGATTACTTAGGGTTAAATGAAATCATGCATAAATGTACTGTCTAGGAGGAATGTGGAAGAGGTATGAAACGAGGAACAAAGACAGCTCATGGCAGACCCTTAAGGTAACAGAAATCTCACTGTGAAGAAAAATCAGAGAATTAGAGGAAACAATTGGGATGTTTTAAAAAAAGAAAGTCTTGAACTGTCCTACTGGATTGGCCACTTAAGAGATGAAAGACCATTTTATTGAGAGATGTGCTAGTGGGATGATAGTAGTAAAAGCCATACAATCTCAAATGAAGGATAAAAAGCAGAGTATCAGAAACTTGAGTAAAATTTTAACTCAATTAGTTTTAATAAATTATTTGAAAATCTACATCAGCACGAGAACACAGATTCACAAATACTTCCTTGTGACACAGTAACTTTGTTCAAGCAGTTTGTAAATATGTCAGTTTGTAAATATGTCAAGCTTGAAAACTATTAACTAACATTTTTACTACTTTGAGATTGTTTTATGAACACTGAAGGTCTACTATATAGAAGCCATTGTAAATATAAAACAGTCTAGACATCACTGGGGAATTTTAACAGTACAAAAGTCTCCCAATAGGATGGGATAAGTCAGCAAAGTAATGTAACTGCCAAAGTGCGAAGCATGTGGGCAAAGCAAATATACATAAATAGATACTACACTCTGTGAAGTAAGACGAGATCCTGCGTTGTTGTAGAAAGCTTCCTGGACAATTCTGACATGGCTTCACTTCAAAGGTTTCATTGCACTCTTTATATGTTTTCTGAACAGCTGATGAAGTTAAAGCATGCTAACTCAATGGGAAGTCTAATCATAAAAAAGTTTTGTCTACTACAAACTGCCCTCTCACATATGATACACAGATGACAAATGAATCGTATTTAAGGTTAAAAGTCTAGTGGGGCCAAAATTTAGGGTTTCTGGTACTGAGTTCAGTGTCACAATCTATTAAGAAACTAACTTACAGACAAGATAAATACTCATAAAAATCTAGGAAGAAGAAACATAGGTTAATTCACAGAAGAGAAAAAGCATCCTATGAGGTGAAATCAGAAAAAACAATCCATGTTTGCAAACGTGATAGATGATAAACTGGCAAGACATAGACTATGGAGTCAGGCAGTCTGAATACCCTCATCTGAAGAACTTTCGTAAACGTAAGTGAGAAGAGATATTTAAAACATAGCACAATGTCTGGAACAAAAAGGTGCTTAATAATAAGTATTAACTGTTACAGATCATTGGTAGTCATAATCTGAAGCTCACTTGTCATCAGTGCTGTAATTAAGAAACAAACACAACACTAAGCTGTAAGCAGCTATAAGTAACATAGGACTTTAGGTAATCAGTCATCTACACAAATGTAATAAGCAGCTCTCTTGTATTTTAGGAGGAAAAAGTCCTGATTGAAAAACCCACAAGAAACCATGCAAAGCACTAGGAAAGAAACTATGGGTGTTTTTCACTAACAAAAATATTAAAGTAAGAAGGTGTTTTTAACATGATGGGTCAGGATGAATGAAGTAGACACAAGGCCCTTTTGCTACAAGTACAGTGTGATCACCAGCTGTTCTCGCCCATCTTCCTCTACTTTCTCCATTTCTACTTCTTCTAAATAAAAAAGATGCTTATTCTCTATGTTCCTAAGAAATTAATGTAAAAATATTTTCCTGCTTATGCTTAGTGGTGCTTTCATAATATTCTAGAATTTACACAAGTTTACACCGGGTTCTTAATCTTCTTGACCAGCTTTACACTTTAAAGCTATAGAAACAAGGGTAGGATATGTAAAACCTTGTAATTTTTACTCCTACCATTGACTCCAAAGCCTCTATATTCTGGGAAATGCCAGGCAGGCAGAAAAAACACTGTTGTAAAAAGAAAAACAAAAACAAACTGTATAGAGGCAACTATGAAACTATTAATAAAAATGTCAAATTCTACAAAAAGTGTGTCACAACAGTAAGAAAAATTTCCAAAAAAAGAGCCAAAAGATTCTTATAGCAAAAGAGAAAAGTAATTTTTGTCTGAAGAAGCTAAATATTTCAAAGTACCTGACTCGTAGCAGAAGTTAAAGCATGATTAAAAAAAAAAAAAAAAAAAAAAAAGAAGTTAAAGCATGCTAACTCAACACAAAAATCAGTAGTAGTCCTGTATGGCAATAATGAACTACTGAGAAAGAAATTAGGGAAAATATTCTATCCATTATCGATTTAAAAAAAAAAAAAATTAGACTACAAAAAAAAAAAAAAAAAAAAAAAAAACCTGGAGGGAACATTGGAAAATAAAAAAATATCCCTCTTTCTGATCAGGCAGAATCAATATTGTAAAAATGGACATATTGCCAAAAGCAATCTCCAGATTCAGTGCAGTCCATATTTAAAAAAAAAAAAAACATTTTTCACAAAACAAGGAAAAAAATTATTAAAGTTTATATGGAACTGGAAGAGACACAATGGCTGAAGCAATCCTGAGTAAAAAGAGTAAAGCAGGAGGCATCACAACACTTAATTTCAAATTACACTACACAGCTATAGTAACAAAAGCGGGATGGTAGCGATACAAATACAGACATGTAGACCAACAGAATACAAGACACAGAACCCGATGAATCTGATAACATCTAAATTTTGACCAAAAACATGTTGTAGAAAAATAATTTCATTTTAAGAAAGTGTGTGGAGATAGTGGATTATTCATGTGCAAAACACTGAAACTAGATCCTTATCTTCAATCCACTACTAAAATCAAATCAAAATATGTTGAAGACTTAAGACATAAAAACAGAAGTGGTTAAACAAGTGGAAGATAACATGAGGAAACACTTGAAGCCATAGTATAGGCAAGGACTTTCTTATCAGCACAGGAAGTATCGTAAGCCAAGTAATGGAATTATATTAAATTAAAAAGCTTTCATACAGCCCAGGAAACAACCAAGAGAATGAAGAGATAACCTACAGAATGAGAAAAATTCACTGTTGGGCACTCTTCTCTTGAAGGTTTTATTCCTGACTAAAAACATACAGAGAGAATTCTAACACATTAACTCACCCTCATGACTCAATCAAAAAGCAAGCAAATGAAATGAATAAGCAAATACAAATGACCAATAAGTACATGAAAAAATATCCATAATCTTCAGCAATTAGGGAGACACTAACCAATACAGCTCTGAGAGTCTATCACATGCCACTCAGAATGACTGTATCAAGAACATAAAAACAAATGTTCTTGAGGACATGAGGAAAAAGGAACCCTTCTACATTTTAGGGGAAAGTAAACTAGTATAACCACTATAGAAATGAATATGGAGATTCCTAAAAAAAAAAAAAAAAACCCTAAAAATAGAAATTCCATTTGACCCAGCTATGCCTCTCCTTGATATATTCTTGAAAAAGTTTAAGACATCATACTATAGTGACACACATACCCACGTTTATAGAAACAATTAAAAATAGCCAGGTTGTGGAAATAGTCTAGATGCCCATCAAGAGAAGAATGAAGTGATAAAAATATTCAATGAAGTGTTACTCTGCCATAAAAAAGAAGAAATCACGTCATTTGCAGAATGGAACCTGAGATTATAATGTTAAGTATATTGTCAGACACACAAAGCTAAGTATCTCATGGTTTCTCTTATATGAGAAAGCTAAAACACAAATGAAAAAGAGTAAAATAAAGCAGACATGGTAGGAAATGAAAAGGCAGACTGATTAAGGACAGGGAAGGCGATTAAAAGCAGGCAATGATAAAGGAATTGAAAATGATCCAAAGTACATTACATCTATGCACCAATTTGTCATTATGAATATAACTGTTGTGTATTGCAAACACACACTAACAATAAAGAACAAAAAGTATCTGATTTTAACATGACACAATTCACCAAAGAGTCATAAGCAAAAATTATTTTATTGTTAAATTCAGATTCCAAGTTCTCAAAATAACTGAATTGCTTTTAAGAAAAATCATTTCTTTTAGAGTTAAGGTAAGTGACAAATTAGGGAGGAAAAGTACTTTTGTCAATTACACCACATGCTCATGGGGCTCAATCAGCAGCCTGTAAAAATACAGTGAATTGCATGAACTTGATCATGCAATATGAATTGCAATTGTTTTAAAAGGCTGAATTCATGATCTGATTTCTTAAATCTACTTTTAACTAATGACTAGAAAGTGTTAATGGTGGTATTTTAGCATTTTACTTAAAGAAAAAATCAACAGGATAACACTAGTATTAACAGGCACAATACTGCAAAAAGTCTGTGCAAAGGCAAAAATGTAGATTAAAGTACCTTTAAAAGGAAATACAACCGGAGAACATTCCAAATAATGAAATCTTTCTTTAAGGGAATCAAAGTCCGGCAAATGGGGCACTCTGTGGCTAGATGCCACCACCTGCACACACCCTACCTGTTCTCTGTCTCCAGTTCATTCTTGCGTAGATTTGCATCATCTAGGAGGCTCTGCAATAAGGCAATTTTTTCATTGTCGGAACCTTCTTGGTTAATTTTTAACATCTTATTCTCATGCTGAAGACGAATAAGTTTCTCCCTGAATAAACAAAATAAAAACATTATCTGGCATATTAAAGTCCAGTCATGCAGTTAAATTAAAAAACTAGAAATAAGAAAGTATCAACAATGAATTTTCCTCCTTTATAAACTGCTAAGATATTACATTTCAGCTATCAAATTCTTTTTTAGAATGGATAAGCTACAGACATTATCTGTAGATCATGACTTACAATGAAGGAAATGCCAGTCCTATTTTCCTCTTGATTTAAATACTGAGACTATGCATAAATATGTTTTTCTTTGATTCTTATAAGAAAACCAGATTTCTAAGATTATGTTCTCTCCTTTACCAATTATGTGTTGGCAAGATGTATTCAGTGAGAAACATCTCTAGGACATTCAGAGCCAAGCACGATGATGCACACACATAGTTCCAGAACCTGGAAGGCTAAAGCATAAATGCCCTGAATTTGAAGCTAGCCTGGGCTATACAGAGAGTTCAAGGCTGGCCTCGAGACCTTGTCACAGAAAACCAAAAACCAAAAAACAAAGTTAAAAAAAGAGAAAGAGAAAAGAGATTCAGAGTATCTATTCTTAATAAGTTAAACTGTATCCTTACAACATAATCCAGTTGTTAGAGTCAGGTTATTGAACAGTGTTGTTTCAGATTCTTTGTGTTAAGTCAAAATCCTACATGGAAGGATTTTAAAAGCAAGCAACACACAGAACTGGGCATCACATTGACTACAGAGACATAGGTATGAGTGCATAAGAACACATTTGTTAAAGATATAATTCATTCTTTTCTTTACATAGGGCCATCATTAGAGAGCTTCATGAATATAGCAATACCAGATACTAGATACTGTACTATGAAAAACCATGCTTCTCATGGGGGTTTAAAAAAAAAGCATAAATAAAAAAAGTTAGTTCTTATTTTGTAAGCACCACTTTTCCCCTTTTTGAGACAGTGTCTTGCTATATTCCAGGCTGGCTTTTAGCTAAATGTGGACCCAAGGCTATCATCTTGGAACATGGGGCAGTCCTCCTGCCTCAGCCTCTGAAGTAATAGGATTACAGTTTTGTGTGTTGTTACAGCCAGCTTAAATATTGTAACTTGTAGAAAGTGTTTTTACTTTTCCTATTGAAAAGACAAGTTTTGTCTGTGATTCAATTCAAGAAATTACATAGAACATGAGATATTCTGTAAGTGAGCAATACTGACTTACTATCTTTCCAATTACAAAGTAAATAAACTTATTTTAGAGGAAAAACGATGAATGAATAAATAATCATCCATCACTCTGTGGTGCAAAGTAACTACTGCTGAAATATAGCCTTCTAGCACTATGCATATGCATATACATATACATATATGTGTCATCATCTTTTTTCTGTGGTACTGCAGACAGGTCAGGGCCTTCACAATAATCTACATCCCCAATCCCTTTTTTAAAAAATTTATTTAAAGAAACACTAAGCAAAACAGAAAATGGGTAGAAATAATACATACTTTCAAAGAAAAAAATAAACAGAAATCACTAATTGATGATTATAGACTGTCCTCTTTTTTTGGGGGAGGGGTCTTTTTGAGACAGGGTCTCACTTTGCAGTTCAGGATGGCTTGAGCTCACTTTGTAGCCCAGGCTGGTCTCGAACTTGCAACGATCCTCCTCCTGCCTCAGCCTCCCGAGTGCTGGAATTGCAGGCATGAGCCACCACGCCTGGCTACAAACAGTTATTCAAGACACTAAAGTGCAGCATATAAAGTGGGGATTCAAACAGTGAGACTGCAACCAGTTCTGTTCAACTATCCCCAATCCTTTCTAAAATTTTGAGACACAGTCTCCCTAAGTCACCAAGATCCCCAGGTTGGACTTGAACTCGAGATCTTCTGGTCTTAGCCTCCGAAGTGCTGGGATTAAGGACACTGCAACCACACCTGGCTGCAAGGGACTATAAAAACAATGGGCTCACATATTCATGCTGCACTGGTATCTGCTATTTACACTTAAAGTTCCTTAAAGTTCTGTGATTTTTCACGTTGTTAACTGCACTTGAAGGCTGGCTCCCTAGGGCAGCAGTGTTCCTAGTATAGAAGCAACTGGTTCTGGATGCTCTGCTAGTGCCAGTGGCTGCCTGTTTATCCATTTACAGCCTGCTGGATGGCTGTAGGAGGTGGCACTGGCTGGAAGAAGCAGGTCAGAGCAGTGTATGCTAAAGGACGCCTTGTCCCTGGCTCCTGCCTCTTTCTTTTTTGCTTCCCAGGGAGATACTGGGGGGCAAGCAGCCCTTCTCCACCATGTGCTCTCAGCCATGATGCTCTGCTTTGTCCCAGGCCAAACACATGAGGCCATGTGATCATGGAATATCTCAGAACCATGCACAAAATAAACTTTTCTGCCTATAAACTGTTTATCTCAAGTATTTTGTCACATTAAATATTAGCAGGCTAAACTAACACACTCAATTGTAGAAGTACAATTCTGAGTTTTGTCAGGTCAATAATCAGCTTTTAAAATGTATCTCTGTGTCAACCTTTGGCTATTTCCTTAGCATTTATCCTCCAAAGTGATTTTTTTTTTTTTGGTTAAAAGGTAATTTTGAGGCCACAGATGCACTCTACTAATTTGCTTAAAAGAAAAGCTGTATTATTTTAATCTTTACCCTTAGTTTGAGGATTTCAATTTTGCAACACACTTTTTTTTTAAAGACAGGGTCTCGCTATGCAGTCCAGGATAGTCTTGAACCAACTATGGAGCCCAGGTTAATCTCAAACTCAGGGCGATCCTGTTGCTTCAGTGTCCTGAGTGCTGGGATTATAGGTGTGCACCACTATATCAGAGGCATGCCTGCAATCCCAGGTGTGTTTTCTCAACAATCATAACATTAATAAGTAACTAACATGGACCCCTGTTCATCACTGTTTGTCATTTGTTTTTTTAACAGCTTTTCTGGAGGATATTTTAATTCCTATCTAGTCATACATGGAAAAGCCATACTTGTTGACTCTTAGGAAGAACTTGTTCTTAGTTCAGAAAGCTAACTATATCCCAAATAGCTTCCTTAAAAATTGCTGGGCTGGGGATTTAGCTCAGTGACATAAGCGCCTGCCTTGCAAGCAGGTAGTCGTGAGTTTGACCCCTGGTACCGATGAAAAGGAAAAAAGACAAAAAAAAAAATTGCTGTTTTTTTTTTTTTTTTAAGGGTGGGGGAGACACAAGCATTTATTTATAAGTATTTGTAAATAATGAATGTTCATTCAAATAATTTTATTGCTTCAATTATAAACTAGCATGTCAGATGTCAGAAAAGTAAAAGGTATACAAGATGCGTTCAGATGCAATATTGCTATTATACACCTTTTGGTAATACTTCTTAAACGCCATCAAGTAGTTATCTTCAGTTTGAGTATTCAAATGCTTATTTTTACTATTATAGTCTGTAACTCTTATACAATCCTTGGATTTAATACTTCCACAGATAATGTGAAGAATTAAAGTCAATGTTCATTTGTTAAAGAGGTCAGTATGTCCAGAAACGGTAAAAGCAATAGGATTCATCACCCTGTTTTGGGATACTTGGTATTCTCCCCAACCTCATTATGCATTCATGTACCAAAATAAATGGAATGCAAAAAATGTTGCTAAATAAAAAAGCTAAGGTAATACTGAGAGAATAATCATAAGAGATGAGAAGGACCTCCTATTTACAGCATCAGTGTATCTTTCTCAGATCATTCCAAATAGCAGATAAAAATCTTAGTAGTGGATTATTCTGCAGGCTCATAGCTAAGCATAATCTTTGTCTTTGGGCTGTTATCAACTTCTACATGTTTGCTGGAGCTAGCCTAGCACAGAGGGTATTAAGTTTGCTTTGCACTTATGAAGTAAGAAAATAAGTTCTCTGCTAGACCAGCTCAAGAAAGCTGGTAACATGTGGAAATTCAATCCTATGCCTTGATGACAGTGTCAGTACTAGAAAGGAACCAGTGCTCTTCACACTGCAGAGGACGGTTCTAGCTCAGGAGACCTCGCAGTGAGGCTCTTTACCTGATTTCAGGTGTAACAATTTCTGCTGCCAGGCTGTCTGAAGATTCTTGACTGCCCAGAGGCATGAACCCTACAAACATACAGACATAAAAAGCAAGATTAACAGAGAGCACAGCTTGCTTCTTTAATAAAGTGATACAGTTCCTGTAGGTAACAGCTAAAATAAAATTAAATTAAAAATTCACAATTTTCTCATAAAAAAGACTATTTTATATTATTGTCAACATTTATGTATAGCATTAAGCATATTTATAATGTTGCATAACCATTGCCACCACTTATTTCCAAAACTTTTTCATGACCTAATAAGAAAGTACAACTATCAGACCATCACTATCCGCATTCTTTTTTTTTTTTTTTTTTTTTGTCGGTACCAGGCATCAAACTCACGACCATGCATTTTGCAAGGCAGGCGCTTATGCCGCTGAGCTAAACCTATAGCCCCCAGACCATCACTATCCATCTCATTTCCCTTGTACCCTGCAAACCTCCACTTTGGTTTCAATGATTTGCCCTCCTAGATACCTTGCGTAAGAGGAATACTATCATTTGTCTTGTGTCTTGCGTACTTAACATGTTTTAAGGATTCACCCATGTTACACAGCGTTTATCAGAAGTTTATTCCTTTTTATGGCAGAATTAATATTGTACTATGAGTATATGCAACATTTTGTTTATCAACTCATCTGTCAATGGACATTTGGCATTTTTAAAACTCTTTTGGCTATTATAATGCTCTAATGGATATTTTTTTTTTATACCAGGATCACACTGCAGACCTCGCACTTGTTACGCAGGCACTGTGCTGCTCTTCTGTATCACTAGCTCAAAAGAACATCACACACAAGGACTTGGTTGAGTTTCTACCTTGAATTCTTTTATATAACATTTAGGAATGGAATTACTAGAGTGTAATGGCATATCTGTTTAACTGTTACGAGCCACCAAACTGGTTTCTACAGAGCTGCCCCATTTCACACACTTACCAACAGCATGCAAGTGTCTTTTGATTTCTTCACATCCACAACACTCTTAATTTTCCCTTTCTTTTTTTTGAGAAGGTATCAGCCACCATAATTAGTACTAACCAGTATTTTATTGTAGCCTGATTTACATTTTCCTTATGGTAGTAATGTTGCTTTTTCCTGTGCATATTGGCCATGAAATTCTGAAAAACCTCTGTTGAAGTTCTTTGTGCATGGCTGAAATGGGTTTTGTTGTTGAAGTATAGAAACTCTACACATTTTGGATTTATTCCTATATCAAAGAATTATATGTTATTTGCAAAAACTGTCTCTCACTTTTGTGGACTACCTTCATTCCACTTGACAGTGTCCTTCAATGTACAAAAGTCTGATAGGATTTCCTCTGTTGCCTATGTTTTTGGTATCAGTTTAGAGAATCACTACCAAATTCACAACATCCTTAGGATTTTTCTCTAAAAATTTAATAGTTTTTGCTCTCCTATTTGGGTCCTTGCCTCACTTTGAACTAATTTTTATATGTGATGAAAGGGTCCAGCTTTACTTTTTCTATGTGGATATGCAAAATGTATACTTTCTGTCTTTTTATTTCATTTCGTCTCTTTGCTGGTTGCTCTGGTTAGAAATCCCAGTAGAAGATCGATAAAAGTCATCTATTGCTGATCTTGGAGGGAAGCCGTCTTTTGCCATTCATTATGATGTTAGCTATCAGTTTCTTGCCTATGTTTATCACACTGAGGAACTTTTCATCTCTTCCTTGAGTTTTCAAGTTTATGAGAAAGTGTTAGGATTTTGGTAAATGCCTTTTCTGCATCAATTGAGTAGTTCATGTGTGTTTTTGTCCTTCACTCTATTAATGCAATATATTACTTTGACCTTTACAATTATCCTTATGCAAGTATCACAATATTTCTTTTAAAGTAGTTTTATAGTAAATTTTGAAACCAGTATGTGTAAGTTGTCCATTCTGATTCGTTTCCATTTTCATGTAAGTTTTAGGATCAGCTTTTCACTTTCCATAAAATAATCTGCTAGAGCTTTTAATCAGGATTTCACCGAATCTTTCACTATCCAAATACTATGGAAAGTTGCTCTATTTCAGATTGCATTTTAACCGATCTCAGCAATGTTTTACAATCTCCAGTGTATGAATCTTGCATTTGTCTGCTAATAAATTTATTCTTAAGCATTTTACTTCTTTTCTTTTGTGGCGCTGAGGACTGAGTTAATAGCCTCACTCACTTTAGACAAGTGCTTTGAGCCCTACCTCCAGCCACCAGTATTCTTTTATACTGTTGTAATTTAAACAGTGTTCACTATTAATATACAGAAACAAATCTCCAGCTCCACAAGACACACACACACACAGCTAGGTCTTCTGACACCAATGTTGAACAGCAGTGGCAAGGTGAACATCCTTGCCTTATACGATCTGAGGGGAAAAGTACTCGGTTTTCATCAAATGTAAGATTAGCTATAGGCTTTGAACAAACACTTCTGAATAGAGATTAAGGAAGTTTCTTTCAGTTTCTAGTTTGTTGAGTGAATTTATCAAGAATGGTGTCACCTACTTTTCTAATGATATACCAATCTGTCCACAAAAGGTATATACAGATGAATGAAAATGTCATTCCTATACTGCTTAACTTTCAAGTTGTTTTAAAATTTCATTATTTCAAACAAATCCTTAAATCATTAAGGTAAATTTCTGGAGCAAAACTATTGGTCTAAAGATATATGTATTCCTGGATGTGGTGGCAGATGTCTGTAATCCCAATACTCAGGAGGCTGAGGCAGGAGGATCACTGTGAGTTTAAAGCCAGCCTGTGCTACACAGTGAGTTGAAGGCCAGCTTGAATTACATGGTGAGACCCTGTTAAAAAAAAAAAAAAAACTATACATAGGGCTAAACACAAGAGGTTTTAGGTAGCAAAGAAATGAATGTGAGAGCTTGCCTTTTCTTGCCAAAATAGGAGCTAAGAGCAAGTGTTGTAAGGTTCAGCTTAGGTTCTTAAAATTTTGGGAAAAATACATAGATTTGATTATAGATAAATAAACACTAGGGAGCAACGAGGATCCAATTATAAAAAGAAACATGCATTTCTTACCCTAATGAACTTTTTTTTGCTGGCTTTAGTAATTTGGGCTAGAGAGAAAACCTTTAGGCTAGCTGAATTAGGTTTTGCCAAGCTTGGTCTAGGAACAGGTCAAAAGGATAAGGAAAGGGGCAGTCATAAGAACAGCTAAATAGCTGATATGCAGACTGGGTAAGCCAGAAGGCCAGGCCAGATGAAAGCTGACTAACACAGGCTTCAAAGAGGAGTTAGAAGTGAGGGAAATAAGCAGGTTTTTGGAAGGCATGCAGAGGAGGAAACAGAGGTTGTGGTCAAGGGAAAAGAAAACTTCTAATTTCAGGTAAATGCAAACCCATGGACTTGATCTCTCACAGCTCCCAACACAAGGACAAAGTGGACAGGCACACCTCACACTCAGTGGTGATCTTTCCCTGTGATGAAGAAGAGTTTCTGGATCCAAGTCTCTTGATGTACTACAAATTACTCCATTTTTCTAATGTGAAAAAAGCCTTACTAATTTAGAAAACTTAACGTACTTTTAAAGTGGTCCCGAGAGGCTTTTCTTAATATAATTTTCTAGGTTAACAAAGATGAATTAATAAATGCACTTTATCTATTAGAACTTAAATGTTTAAAAATTTTTTGTTTTGGGACTGGGGATTTAGCTTAGCGGCATAAGCGCCTGCTTTGGAAGCAGACAGTCGTGAGTTTGATTCCCGATACCGATAAAAAGGAAAAAGACAAAAAAAAAAAATATTTTTTTTGTTTTATAAACTTGGAAAGTAATTTTAATCCAAAAACTATAATGTTTGCCACAAAATCCTGGAAACATAAAAAAATTGTACTGCCTCTACTTTTTCATTTTTATTTAATATGGCAATCATCTTTCAGTGACCCTAATGCTTGCAATGATCTCAGAAGTAAAGCATGACTGGGCTACTCAAATGTTTTACCTTGAGCTGTGAGCTGCCCTTCTTGAGCCTGTACACAACGAAGCTCTTCAATGGTTTCTTTCAGCGAGTCTCTTTCTGTTCTTAACCTCTGACAACACAAAGACAAAAAAGATTAACTACAAGTTTTAGGGATATATTTACTTATGCTCTTTGCGTTAGCGAAAATAAGTAACAGTGAACTTGAGTATGTTTTATCTTTTGATCTTTTATAGAAAGATCATAGAAGTAGAAAAAAACATTTTTTTCCTTAACATTAGTGAACGACTGCAAGGTAATGTGTTATCCATGGTTAAACAAAAGAAACAAAGCTATCTTCTATATTCTTCTCATTGAACATAAAAGATGAAAGGATAAAAACGAAATATTCTAAACCACACCAAAGGAAGTCTCTGTATTAATTCTCCAAAAAACAGAAGGGCTACCTAAATTTACAGAAAGTCAAGAGTACAACAATGTAAAAGAGCAGTAGGGGTAGAAAAGACAAACATGTATTAAAAAATTCAAAATGGAAATAAAAACATCTTTCCCATCTTTTATTTTTGAAACAAATGCAAATTAATTTTAAAATGAATACAATCTCTAATTTTAAAATTTTCATAAATAGATAAAATTAATGTCAAAACATGAGTTAACTATCATCCTAGCAGTGCTAAAAACCAAAAGTCTAAGTACTCACATCCTTTTCTTTTTGAAGACTGTCAACCTTTTCTTTTAGACGTTTATATTCAAAATCTAATTTATCTGCTTTCTTTGATTCTTCGGATAATCTATTCTGTAGTTCTACTACCTGATACAGAAAAACAATGTTAATTTTTATAATTTGAAACATTAGAAACTATCCTTTGGGAACTGGGAATTTAGGTTAATGGTAGAGCCTGTGTATAAAGTCTCAGGCTTTATCCTCAGCACTGTCTACCTCCCCAAGAAATAATCTCATTTTCTCCTTAGGTCTATGAAAACATCTTCATTACCAATACTCAAATAAATGAATACAATCCACCACTTTATACAAGGGAGAGCTAGAAATCAAAATCTGCTTAGATAGCACAGGCTTCTAAATCAGAATCATGTAGAGTAACAACACTGAAACTATGAACATGCAGGACTTTATTTCCAACAGATAACTGGGTATTCTGAAACTTTCAATATTAAAAAGAGAGAAAAAAGAACAGAGGAAGGAAGGGAAGGAGGAAAGACAGAAGGAGAGGGTAGAATAGGGGAAAGGAAGGGAAGGAAAGGGAAGGAAAAGGAAGGGAAGGGAAGGGGAGAAGGAAGAGATCCTAGGAGAGCAAAATTCAATTACATAGCTAATGTTGAAAGAGGCTAAAACTGAAGCAGGGAGATAAGGTTTCCTTAGAAGCTACAGATGCATAAAGGACCAACTGCCCTTAGTATGCTGAGTTCAGTCAACAGGAATTGAGTAAGTACTAATCTTCTTGGGACATGAAAGATGATGAGGCAATAAACAGGTGGGTTAGGGGAAAACCTACCAGTTAATAAGATAGACTGGGTTTAAAAAAGCCTCGCTCCGAAACCTTTAACTATCAGTTACAGATTTGTGTTTGAACTTTTATTACTTATCTTGTCCAGGAAAACCTAAACCAAGCGCTTAAAAGTGGTTCTGGTTAATGATGGGTTAGAAAATGGGTCCTAAGCAAACACACATATTTTCTGGGCAAACTGAATCTCAACTCAGTACCCCAACGCTCGACAAAATAAAGATAAGTCAATAGCAAGATGACATGGGCCACAGTATTTTATTTTTTTAATTATTGGTACTGGGAATTAAACTCACAACATTGTGCTTGCCAGGCATGCACTTGTACCACTGAGCTATATCCCAGCCCTGGGTCACAATTTTAAACAGTTATAAAAAACAAGAACCATCAAAACATTACAATAGCAGAATAGTAACCGCAAGGATTTCAAACTGGAATTTTACAAAATATGTATTTTAGGTTTAATACTTGAAAAATAAAGAAATCTAAATTACAAAAACAAAAGACTAGAAAGAACAACCAGACAGGTTTTTAAGAGGACACAAAGAAAACTCGTGGAAAAGAAAAATATTTTAAAATTATCATAAAAAAGTACATGAAGTGCCAGACCGGAAACAGATGGTGTATCATGCACTTTCACTACAACTACTTGTATATACAGGTTCCTTTTAATTCTACATCTTAGTTCTAAAACACGACTGGCCACCTTTTCCTCCATATAATATTTTTCTTGCTGGGCAAGGTGGCATATGCTTGTATCTCAGCAACTCGTGGGGCTAAGGAGGAGGATCACAAGGAAAGTGAAAGACAGAAGCAAAGCGAAGCGAAGAGAAAAAAGAAAAAAGAGAAAGAAAGGACAGGAGAGTGGGTGGGCGGGTGGTAGGCAAACGAGGATGTAACAGCATGTGGAGCCACAAAAATGTTTTCTTCTCATCAATTCTTTCTGTTCTCTAATACTAAGCAGGTCATTCCTCATTTCATATTTCACTTTAAAAAAGAACGTTTTTCCAGGCTACATTCATTTTAGGTAAATTCTCAGTTCATATTGAAGTTCATTAAATCCTCAACTTTGCTATATATTTGAAAAATCTCACTTTACAGAACTGAAGAAAAAATATCTCCATTGAAAAGCTTGGCAGCCATTTATGATGATAGTTCAGGGCTGCTGTACCAAAACCTCAAGAATTAGAAACTTTGTTTTATACAAATACATTCTGAGAATGGTAATAGAGACCACTCTCCATTTCAGTTTATTGAGATATAGTGTAAGTTCAGACAAACATCAGATAAGGAAGTTATATGAGGCAGAAAACTGCACATGAGATACAGGAGAAAATATTCTAAATAAAATGGGAATGGTGGTACACATGTACAATCCCAGCTAACTGGGAGGCTGAGGCAGGAGGACTGCCAGTTGAGGTCAGCCTGGGCAACTTAGGGAGACCTTATCTCAAAATAAAAAAAGAAAAAGGATGTAGCTTAGTGGTGGATCACCTTGGTTCAATCCCTAGTAATACACACACATAAACACACAAATACTCCTAAAAATATGAAAGCACCAAATAAAGGCATTGTGACCAGGTTAAATTTGTTGTAGGACTGTAAAGATGGCTTAAGATTAGAAGATCTATTATAACTAACCATATGAACAGAAAAGACAAGCGTTAAGATTTTCTCAACAGACATAGGAATCACAGCTTATTAAATCCAACATCCATTTAACGTAGAAACTATTTTTAAAAAGGAATACAACAGAACTACAGGAGAAAACATGTAAGTGATAAAAGTAGTACTTAAAAAAATCTTTTTGAGATGAGGTCTCGTTAAGCAGTTTAGGGTAGCCTCAAACTCACAGCAATCCTCCCGCCTCAGCATGCCAAGCACTGGGATTATAGATGTGCACTACCAGGCTTGGAGTGCTAAAAAATTATTACTTGCAACATATAAAAAACTAAAAATAAGAGAAATCTTTCCATCCTGAAAAATGGGCAAAAGGAAAAAATTTGCAAAAGAGATATGGCTACTAAACATATTCTGAGTAATGTACATGTTACCTTCATCCAACTGGCAAAACTTAAAAAGTTCTGACAATAAAGCACTGTGCTGATGATGATGTGGGGCAGAGGAATTCATAAAAAAACAACTCTGGAATACAATCACTTTGCAAACAAACTGATACTATTTAATTATAGCTCAGACACTCTACAAAACTTCCATACACATATATACATAAGACATGATCAACAGTATTCGCAGTGGAATTTCCACTCACCCACGCAAACACACACAGGTGTGGAGGTCATTATTATTCTATAGATTTTTCAGCCATAAAATAGGTAGATTTTGATAAAGTCATTCTGTGATATTATATGCAAGGAAAATGAATAGGATAAAGCAATGCCTATCAACATAAATGAATCCCATAAATACACTATTGAGGAAAAAAGAGTAAACTGTAAGAGTATTTTCACTGAACCATTTATACAATATTTTGAAATATGTCAAAATGTCATTCATTTTTAAGGATACGTACCTGTGGAGTAAAAACATGCTCAGATCTAAAAAAACAGCCTCAAGATTACCTATGTACAGTGGACAGCATGTTTTACTTTTATGGTATGTGTACTTCCTGGGTTATTTTTTCACTGTCGTATATTTATTTATTACACTATCAATTTAAAAAAAAAAATCTAACATAGAGACCAGTTAATAACCTCTGTGTAAGACCTACATTTAAAGTTCTTTGAATATCAGATAAACAGTGGTAAATACAGTAAAAAGGTAAAAGTTGTGAAGCATTCTGACAACTCTCAGTGTGTGTGTGGTGTGGGGTAGGTGTGTCTGCTGATGCATCTCTTACGAAGAACGTGGCTTTTGCTCTTACCTGTCTCTTGTATGTCTCAAGTTGACTTCGAGCTGCATTGGCCTTTCTTAACTCTTCCTCTAGACTAACAGTGTTCTGCATATACATAGTATTTTTCTCCTCTAAGAGTTTAACCTGTCGTCTCAAATCGCCAAGGTCTTCTAGCTTCTTTTTATAGGATTCCACCTGACCTTCTAGTTTAGATACTTTATCAGAAGAATGTCTAGAATGAGATGGGAAATGAAAAATCAGAAACACATCAATGGTTGCAAAGCTACTTGAGACAATATTAAACCCAGAGAGATAACCAGGAAACATGATCTAATAAAACTATAAGATAAAAGGAGACCCCCAGGTTAACTTTTAAGTAAGGTTAAAAAAAATGACCAAAATTACAGCAAAACATATTAAGAATACTACATGATTTAAGAAATTTAAGGAGGAAGAGGGAGCCAGCAGGGTTACATTTAGCACAAGAGTAAAATGAAAGTTGTGAACTGTCCAAATGATTCACCGCTTAGCATGTCATGAGATCATAGGAAAGAGGCTTTGGTGGAAAAGCAGACTATACAGTGATGCAGTGGCAAATGTTGGAAGCTAAGGAGAGAATATAAATTTTATTTTATGTGATCTAAACTTGGTTCTGGAAAGAAAAGAGTAAGTCTTTTCACTGATATTAGAGAGAGAGAGAGAGAGAGGGAGAGAGAGAGAGACAGAGAGAGAGACAGAGAGAGTGTGTAGATTCAAGATGAAAAAAGAAATCGTAACTGACCCAGCACAGTTCGTAAGAATGGCCTGAGGCTCCCAATAGTGAAGAAAGCATTAATCCTGAATACGAGAGTAACAGGTGTGTACTCTAGAGGCAAAAAAAGGATATGTGGAAATTCAGGAAAGTTCAGAGGAGCAGCAGACAAGGGCCATGGAGAGTCCAATAGGTCGCAGACTCTTTCTGCTGAGCAATCAGCAACAGGCTCATCTAACAAGACTAAGGCACGAAGGCTGTGTGGTGTGTGGGCAGATGTGAGAAGAGTTACAACAACATTTAACATCAATGAGAGCACAGAGAATAATGCACTGATACATAGTAGAATGGCAGGTTGGAGGAAGAATGTAGTTTTGAAATCATTAATCTATAGTAGGACAAAACTCTACCACTGTATGATTCTCTACATATTTAGTTATCAAAGAGCAAATGCAGAAAATAGAGATCGCTAGAGTGATTCAACAGAGGACAAGAGATTAAGAAAGAGGTGAACCATGGAATAGTGACATGGTGAGTAGTCTGAGAGAATGAATAATGGCAAGATGAGTGTCCAGCAAGAAAATGAAGCTTTGTGATGTGATGTGTGCCAACATCTAAAAAGGCAGAGCAAATGTCCAGAGGGCTTAAAAACAAACAATAGGGGAGGAAGAAGAAAAGTTCTGGTGCTATACAAACGCAAAGCCATGGTTACAGGTTAAATTCTATTTAATAAATACATAATGGATTTGTCAGATCATTCTAAGGGTTTACAAATATAAATTCCTTCATTCCTCATCCAAACCTAAGGTTAGTATGAATACTTCCATTTTACAGATGAAAAATGGCTCTACAGATGCTAAATAAATGGTGCCTCTGAAAGATGTTCAGAGAGCCTAGAGTCTTAACATCACAGACAGAACTGCTCTGTCTGCAACCCCACGTGAAGCAAAGACTGCTTACCTAAGCACGTCTATTTCATCCTTCAGAGACTGGGCTTCATCAGCTAAAGCAGTCAGCTCGTCATTCTGCTGCCGAAGTTCAGAGATCTCCTTCTCTAACTCCTCACAGCGTATTCGATAATCATCTTTGGCAGCTTCTAATCTGAAGCCAAAACAAAATAGATCATGAAAGTACTGCTTATTATCTCATAATTTTCCTTATAAGAGTAAAATAAAATAAAAACATAAAACATGGGAATAAACTCCTGGTGAACAAGTCTCTGAATTTGTGGCCGTAAGATGTATTCTAAAGTCATGACTTCATGAAAAGGTTTCCCTGGTTCCAAAATTTGAGAAAGGTTAAAACTAGTAACCACTCTACTGACGAAAAACTAGACCCCCACGGATGCTTGGCAATACTGCAGATAGAAGTAGAAAGATTTCTTAATTATGAAATTAAAATACATTCCTGGAAAATTTGTAAAATATAGAAAATACAAAATGTGTATTAATTCAGAGAGATAAGTACTGTTAACGTTATTGAAATGCACCCTCTGGCCTCATTTCTGTTGTTATTTTCTCCCCAAACATGGGTATGCTATTTCTACCTCTAACTGACCACACCTATTTACTTAACAACATCTTTCCTTTGATTTACAAGGCTTTTCATCTCTTCTTTCATCTTATGCAGCTAATTAATTATTTGCTTCACCCTCAACCCTTTTTAAGTTTTGAGACAGGGTCAATACTAAGTTGTCCAGGCTGGCTTTGAACTTGTGATCCACATGCACAACCATGCCCAGCTAAGAAAACCTTTTCTTTTTTCCAGTTAAGGCACAGTGAAAAAAAAGAAACAACATCCTGAAACATTTTACTGAGGAATAAAACAGCAAATACATTAGACATGTTAGATTTTTATATCAATCTGTAACTTACTATAGTAAGTTACAGATTGATATAAAAATCTAACATGTCTAATTTCTCTTTTTTAATACTAGAAATCTAAGTTAGGTGTGGTGGTACATGCCTGCAACTCTAGCACTAGGCAGGCTGAGGTAGGAGGATTGCTGTGAGTTTGAGGGCAGCTTGGGCCACTTAGTGAGCTCAAGGCCAGTCTGCCCTGCAGTTTGTTGTCTATTCTACTCAATTACATTATTAAAGTAATTTCAGATTTTTGGTGAATTAAGTCTTTCTGATAATTGTTTCAACTCCTCCTCATGAGCCTTCACTAGTATTCTTCCTGTTTTCCTCTTAATATTTTCCTGAGTGTCTTTAACTGCCATGAAGCTGTAGGGCAGGTGGAAGGGAGTCAAGTATGTGGGATGCACGGCTGGCTTTTTTTTTCTTCCAACTTGTCGTTGTAGTGTTCTACCTTCAATAAATGTTGAGTGTGTAGCTTTGGAGTTTTTCCTAGACATAAATTTCTCATGTTATGTGGGAAGATTTTGACAACTTGTTAACTACACAGCCCTCTTGGTCTGCAGTTGTATAGAAGCCCTAAAATTATTTTTTCTTTTGGAAACTATGCAGTTTAGGTTGGTCTTGAACTTGCTATGTAGCTCAGGCTGGTCTCCAACTCACTGTGATCCTCTTGCCTCAGCCTCTAAAGTGTTGGGATTTTAAGCATGCACCTATTTTGGTGGATGGCCTTATAGTTACCAAATTTTTTAAGATTAGATTGTAATGAGCTTTTACCTAAATGTTTCTTCTTGTAATTGTTCTAATTGAGTCTGAAGCTGTAAATGTCTTCTTCCTGCTGGACTGTTGGGATCTTCTATAGAATCAGACTGATTGAGTCTTTCCATCAATATCTGATTTTCTGCCAATAAGCTACTCTTCTCCTCTTGCAATGCTGCAACCTGTTAGAATATAAAAAGGCAGCAGTTATTCCATCCAGTTATGCTGGCATCTGCTCAATCCCTAAAGAAATACAATCACTTCCATATACACATTTATATTATTATGGAGGATTGCACATGTAGAGTCAGCAAGAGTTCATTCTTCATTTATTTTGAGAAGAGGACTTGCCATGTTGCCCAGGTGCATCAACTTCTGGGTCTCTAGGGATCTTTCTGCCTCAGCCTCCCAAGCAATAAGGACTAGAGGTCCATGACCTCTGACTTTATTTTACACTTAAATAAGACACCTCACTAAAGATATACAGGTGGCAAATAAGCACTCTGCATTAGTTAACAAGGAACTACAAACTCAAGCCACAGAATTATCACTAGAGTCTCATTACAATGGATAAAGTTAAAATATTGACTACATCAAATGTGGCAAAGAAGAGAACCAATGGAAGTCTCAGACGCATCTCATGAGAATATAAAATATTTCAAACACTTTGGGAAACAGCTCAGCAGTTTCTTAAAAAAAACTAACAAGTAATGTGGATGGCAATATGCAATGTATGTACCACTGTTGCCCTGTCATGTCCTGAAATCACTTTTTTCCTTTTTGAAAAAAATGGGTTTGAAAAAACAAAAACAAAATAACAGGTAACTATCATATGATTTATCTAGCTATTTTACTCCTACGTATTTACGTCAGAGAAATAATATGCTCACACAATGACTTAGTAGAAAAAAGCAAAAGGTTTCAGTACTTTATTTATAACAGAAATATACTAAAAGTTTATCAAGTGAATGAATTTTAAATTTTAGCGTATTGATTTGATAGAATATTCTTGGGCAATAAAACATTTAAACTACTGACACTAACAACATGGATGAATCTGAAAACCAAACTAAAACAAACCACTGCATGATTTTTGAAATAATTCTAGGAAATACAAGTTAATCTACAGTAACGGAACACAGACCTGGGTACTTAAGGGAAGACAAGGATCACAGGGAAACTTCTGCAGACTGATGGGCTCACTATATTGTGGCAATGGTTTCACATGTAAATCAAAACATGTCCAAACTATATATATTGGGATAATCTCACAATCAAGTCATATAAATGCCAAGAGAGAACAAGGCCACACCAGGAAGCAAGCCCAATCTGGGAACTAGCACCACACGCAGGACGCTGCTGGACTGGGCACAGCCAGATCCCAGCCCCTTCCAGCTCGCAGGCTGGCAAACAAGTACCAACCCCCAACCCCCACCATAGGCAACCTACTTATCTGGATAAACACAGGCTGTGATGACAGCTATCAAGATGAAGTGCAATTGGATGCTTATGGTATTTTGTTGTTTCACTAACATTGCAGCAGATCTAGGGTCAGTGGTCTGATCATGGGTTCAGAGGATAGTGGTATGCAGTGTAGCATCTAGGGGGACTCTCTTTCTGAGGGTTGTAGCCATTGTTAATTTCCTATGGTCTTATTTTGAAGTCTTCATTTCCATTGTTCACTTGAGTCATATTTTATTCTCATTTATTGTGTTTGATTATGTTGGATCTGATGGCATGAGCAGCTATTTGAAAGACAGCAAGACATATTATGGTAGCAATTTTGGATTTACTATTTGCTTATTTAGAAGTCCTTTATTGCATTCATTGTTTTGTTTCTATTGTTTCAATTCTACTCTGTTCTGTTTGATTTTTACTACTTCCAAAGTTATTTGCAGCTATTTTGAAGACATCAAAGGGCATTATTATGGTAACTATTGTTCATTTTGTAATGTTTTGAAGTCCTGTATCTCTTACACTGGTTTGTTTTGATTGGTTTTATTCTGTTTTAACTTCTCTAAAATAAAAGAAAAACATTATATATTAAATGAGCAGTTTACTGTGTATCAATTATATTCAATAAGGTAAAACAAAAGTTGCCTGCCATTCTGAAGTCTCCTTCCCCAACCCCCATTTTCTCCTGACCATGTTCTAGTTGGGCTGTTGGCCCCATCATTTCACTGTTCCTCGTGATAGTCAGTCAATGATTCCATCACTAAGATCTGACAACGACGTTGATAGGACACAGATTCCTCTAGAAACACTTTCTTCCTCTGCTTTCCAGGACCCCTTTTTGTCCAGCATTCTGTAACCAACTCACTGTTTTCACCTCGTTCCTCTCAGTCGATACCTTTCCTTTTCCCTAAAGTGTCTAGAGCGACTTCTCTAAGTATAGTGATAGCATCCCGTTTCCTGGGTATAAACACTATCATCTCTAGCCTAAAATTCTGAACTGGAGATCATTTCCATTTACATGTCAAACAGCATCTTAAATTTAGATTTTCCAAGTGGAACATTTAAAACATTTAAAAAACATGATACACAATAACTGTACACACATCTAAGGTACACTTTATGTGATATCTTCATACACATATATGATGTGTAAAAATCCAAGCAGAGTAATTAGCATGCCTTAACTTTTGTGTTAGAAACATTCAAAATTCTCTTTTAGCTGTTTTTAAAAATACAATAAAGCACTGTTAACTACAGTGGCTTAGGACATTGCTTGATCTTTAAAGACGTATTTGAAGCCTCTCCAGACTAATTACCTTTTCCTGTATTTTTGCATTCTTCCTTTTATTCCTACCATCTTTACCTTGGTGGTTTTTGAATATACCAAGTTACATGCCTGACTCAGGGCCTTTGCAAGCACCATGTACTGACCTTGTGATTCTCTTACCCTAGAAAACTTGCTACCCTAACTTCCTCAGGATTTTACTTCCCATCACCTTCTCATGGAAGCCTGTGTTGACAACCTAACTGAAAATAAACTCCTGTCACTCTGTATTACTTAAGTTTATCTTTGGTACTTTATTACCAGATTGACTGGCCACAGTTCTGGGACTGTCCTGATTGTCTGCTCCTCATTTCACCCTTCCATCTGTCTTTTTCTTTTTTGTGGTACACTAGAGGTTGAAGCCAGAGCCTTTGCACTGTGCTACATTGTGTTCCTTTCTTATATTTTACTCTGCGACAGGGTCTCAATTGCTAATTTGCCCAGGCTGAGCTTAAACTTGTGACCGTCCTGCTTCCGCCTCCCAGATTGTGTTTTCTTCTTTAGAACATGTATCATCACATAACATACTAATATATTTGGCATCTCTTCTTTAATGGAATGGAAGCACTTGGAGGTCAGGGATACTTTATCTATTTTTGCCTGTTTCTTAGCTGTATCTATAGTAATTAGCACAGTTCAGGACACACTGGGTGTTCAGTAAATGTTGCTAAATAAAAATGAAATGTCAGCTCTTTACCTGTCATGTTTCTAAAACTGCACTTGGTCACCATTGAGCTACAGCTCCAGTTTCACAGTAATCATCTCTTTACTACTGATTTCTAAGGTTAACTGTACACTGGTCCAAGGTATGATCTATATCATAGATTCTTCAAATTTAATTAAGAATTTAAGAATTAACCTCACGTGTGGCAAATTTAATGACAGCTGAATGTTTAATAACAAACTTTAATGTAATACTACAATTATCACACTAGCTAAGAGGCTGAGGTATAGCTTAGTAATAAGGAACTTGCTTAGTATACGTGAGACGCAAGGTTTAATCCTAGCACTGCAAAGAAAAATAGATCAGACTAGCTAATATTGCTAACGTATTTTAATATGTAAGGCAGAAATCTTTCTATACACACATAAAAGGAGACTAATTCTAAAAACACACAAACATGATTTACTTATGAAAACAATCGAACAAGGCTAAGAGGATTATAATGAAAAGCAAAGTTTCCTACTGAGTTTTCTCACACTTCAGCAAATGCTTTCAACTATATCTGTGACTGCCTTTGGTTTTTGTGTTGGTTAGTTTTCATATTTCTGGGACACAGTACCAGACACCTGAAACTTAGAGGTTTCACCTGGCTCAGTTCAGTTTACATTCACTGGCTCCAGGCTGCAACATGCTAGTGGAGTGATGCTGCCCACATCATGGTGACCGAGAGGCATGGCACAGAGGAGGAGCAACAGAGAGGAAGGGCAGGGACCAGATCAGGTCCCCAAGGCCATGCTCCTATGACCCGCTTTACACATCTCTAAGTGCTTTACTAGTCTCTGAAGCCAACCATGTTGACAATAAAGATTAAGTATCAGTTATTACTTTGTGTCTCTAGATATGTTAAGGCTGTTTCTAGACTTATCAACCTTAATATCTAGTGACTCTGTTTTCTCACATGTTAGATCACAGCCATTCCTCCCTATCACAAACATGGTTCTATTATGATTTGCACTTCAATCACCCACTAACCATCCATGCTTTCACTCCCTCAGATGTACACTGTGTACCTGCCACAGAAGGAGCACTGCAGCCTTTTGCTTGGTTCAAGGCATGTCAAGATGAACCAAGCACAGAACCCTTACTCCTGTGTGTTACATATTCAAATCGAACATAATAAGCCAACATACACATACAAATCTTACAAAATCAGAAAGTAAATTAATACATGCAAAAACTAAACCAACAATTGCTATGCAAAGGATTAAAAAAGGAGATTGGCCAACCACGGAAGTCCTCCTGGGAAGATCTACTGTGGTACCCAGGGCATGTATGTGATCAGTAAATATTTTATGACAAATTCTGAAACTGCACTGAGACTGGATCACAAGGAAGAGCCAGCCATGCGATGACTGCTATAGCAGTGAATAGTTCTTGACCCTTTCTTGGTGGGATGAGGGGGGTCAGCAGCTCTCCCCTTCTGTCATCTCTTCTGCTCCTCTCTATTCCTCAACCTCTATCATCTGTACCTCTATGAAAACATTCACTATTGGGAGCTGGCACATGTATATAATTTTTTTCATTCTCCCCATCTTTTGGTCTTGTTGCCTTTCAAAAAAGATCTATCTCACTGTTTCCTACTATCATTTACTTTCCACTTTGTTTAAATTTTGGGCTTCTCATATAAGAGAAATCGTATGATATTTATGCTTATGTCTAATTTATTCTACTTAACGTTATGATTTCAAAGTATATCCATTTTCCTACAAATGATTCAAGTTTACCCTTCCTTATGGCACAGTAATACTTCAGTATGTATAAACACCCATTTTCTTTATCCACTAATCTGTTTATGGACATACATGTCTTATCTAAGACTTAGCTATCATGAGTTATGATGCTATCAACATGGGTATGGATCACTGCAATGTGGTATCTTTAACACAAGATACCTAGAAGGGAAATAGCTGGGTCAAATGAAATTTCTAGTTTTGGTTTTCTGAGAAATCTTCATACAAGTTTGAAAGTGATTGTATTAGTTCACACTCCCAACAACAATGGAAGAGGGAATCCTTTTTCCCCAAAGATCAATAACATTTGTTATTATTTGATTTCCTAATGTTGGAGATAGAAGGATAGTGTTTATTTTGCATTTCTCTAATGGCCAGATATTTAACATTTATTGCCCATTTATACTTCTTCTGAGAAGTATCTATTCATTTCATTGATCATTTCTGGATTGGGTATTTAATTAGGAAGGTGGTCTAATCATTTTTAGTTCTTTATATATTTTGGATACATGTTCTCAGTTCAAGGAATATGTATCTTTATTTAACAATAATGCTCCTCTACAGGAAAGGCTAAGCACAGGAAACCAATAAAGCACACATTATTACAACACAGATGCCTTTATTTGGTCCTGTTACTACTACTTTCTGCACATGACAGGATCTTACGGGGCTACCTCTTCTCTTCTCATAAGCTCCCTGCAACACTAGCACTGATCTTGCAACCCATCTAGACCACGGACTGGCAAACTGATATAAAACATAGAACAGTAACTTTAGGCTTTGAGTAAATTTAGAATCTGTGGTATATACTACAAAACTATATAATTAGATAGCAAGCAGATATAATCAGATTGCCCATCTCATGTATAATTTTATATTATCAAAGATAATACTTGTAAAAATAATAAACTCATAAGCCTGAAAAGTAAATAGTGGCATTAACATTTTAATTATGTACATATTACTTCTTATACAACTTAGCAAATGTGCTATGGTTATACTCACTTTATTGCAGCCATGGCAACAAGCAAGTCCTATACTGTTTGGAATGCAGGATGCAGACACTGTAAATGCATAAGTCCCTGTGCATTCATCGGCAAGCACCAACGCATGGCTAACCATGTCTCAGGGGCACCTCCCCCAACTCCTTCCAAATCCTCTTTGTTGTGAAATAAATTTCAGGTGCATAATCTTATTTTTGTTTTATGAGATGTCCTCATCTCAAATTATTCTACTGAGCTTTTTTGATAATTTTACTTTCAAATGACTGAAGTGTTTCCTGCTCTGATTTTTCTTTCTTTAAACTAAAATAGTAGGGCCCCAGGTTCAGCTCAGTGGCTCAGGCGCCTCTCTGATAAGCATGAGGTCATGAGTTCAATCCCTGGTACAAAAACAAAAGCAAAAACTACAATGGTAGCCTTAGAAAAATAGCATCTTGTCCTTTTTTAATGGATACAGTATCTTCATTAAAGCTATTAATACATTGAAAAGAAAACTCTGTAACTCTCCCAGACTTCTCTACTTCCTCCAGGGTTATTTTCCTGTTCATGTAGGCCCTTTTCTTTTTTAATGTGATTTTTCATTATACTTAAGGACTGGCGACAGCAAAAGGCAACTGGAGACTCTTTCCTTAAGGGTCTATCCACAAGAAGTCAGCCTTTATTTAGATTATGGACCTAGAACGGACAAACTAAAAACTACCTTATCCCATGATCCTAGCAGTTACTCTAACCTCGCTACACATTCATTCCTTTGGATAAGAACTGTATGACTTGGAACCTGGCTACAGGTCTGTGTGTACTGCAAGACACAGCTGACAATGTAACAACTATGCAACTCCCATCCTTGGTCTAAAATTTTGGCTTGCGTGGGTTTCACTGAATGAAGATGAATTATCTTGGGCCACATATAAAATAGATAATATAGTGCATATAACGAAGTTATTTTAACTTATTAGCTTACTTTATGAAATAACACAAGCCCAAATTAGTACTAAGAAAACATCTCTGCTTAAAAACAATAGGTACCTATCTTCACACAACGCACAGCTTTAGGCAGACGGAAATGCTATCATCAGCAACTGCTGCCTTGTACTTGTCAAGTCTCACAAGTATGTGAAATGTGGGTACCCACAGGTTTTGATTCCACTAACGGCATGGCAGGTGCAGGAGCTGACATGATGCTACAACACTGTGCCCTCACTATAAAGCAATGTTGTTATCTGCACAGATCATGCTGGAGCACCAACCAAGCCATGAAAACTATTGACAAACATTGCATAGTAATTGTGAAAACAATACAGTCATATGAGACCACATTCTTAGCTGTTCAGGGTCACATGCAGCGCAGGGGCTGTGAACTGCACATGCCTGTTCTAGTCATGCCTCGTAAGGCCTCTAGCTTTCCACACATGCAGTCTCTGCCACAGCAGCTCCCCTACTCCCTCTGGAGTTGCTCCTGGCCGCAGCAACCTTTGCTCGTTTTAGCCATTTATTAACTTTTGTATTGTCTTCTGGCTTTTGAGAGGTTGATGAAGACTGTGTGCTGGAGCGTATATCCAAACTGTTAGATATTCAAAATCATGTAAGTTGGTGACTAAACCACCAGTAGCTTGAAATAGCCACTCTTAAGAGTAATTCTACTATATAGATACTGGTAAACCCAAAAAAGACCCCACATGTCTGGTCTTTTAAATTTTCCCTGCCCTTCTTTGAAGTCAATTTACTAGAACACCATGAAGACATGTATTCATCTCTCTCTCTTGTTTCTTTTTCCCTCGTAGGTTTGTACCATTTTAATTCATTATAAATTTAATAGGTTGCCAAAAAGAACAGAAATTAACCTTTTCATTTTTTCTTTAATCAAAAGCCTGGTTTTATTCTTTTCCCATTTACAAAGAACTGCATCACATGCTATACTATAAGGCAGTTCACAGTACATTTGGTGGTACACAGAACAGATCTCTTACCTGCATATCCAACTCATGGCATCTTTGAGCAATTTCTTCCTTTGCTGATAAAGCCTCATTTAATTCCTCTGTAGTTTTCTTCAACTGATGAAATGGAGACATTTAATAATTACACATTGCTCCAACACAATTAAAACACTTTATCTCATGTTTTCTCGGGGGTCAGTTAAAGGGGAAATCAAGACTTTTTCTGTAAGACTCAAAAGAAGGCACTTCTAACTTTTTTTTTTTTTTTTGGTGTTTTTGAGACAAGTACTCATTATGTACTTTAGCCTGGTCTTGAACTCACTATGTAGCCCAGGCTAGCCTGAAACTCCCAGCAATCTTCCAGCCTCAGGCTCCTGAGTGCTGAGATCATAGGTGTGTGCCACCAGACCTGGCTTGCTGATTCTTTTAATAATGAGAAATTTACCTTGGTAAAAGATGTGACACAAGAGCAGGGGTTTCAATTGCTAAAATAAATAGCTAGGATGTTTCAACACAAACTTTTTTGTTACATTAAAGCTGTAAGCTAATTTGCATAATTTCATTTTTATACGAAGATTTCTACTATTCTGCTTCTCAATATAAATCAAGCATTTCCAAATTGTGTCTATTATTACAAACTCTTAAGTTAGTAAAATACGAACAAAAATGACTGAATTAAAATTTTGTCTTTTCATGTTACCAAAATCTTGTAAAGAGGGAGGAAAACAGCAATCAAAATAATAGCTTTTAAAACCAACTACAACAAAGTAGGAAGAAGACAAATTTCAACTTTTGGCTAAAATTACATGCAAAGAGTTTTGTTTAGAACATTTAGGAACCATAAGGAAGAAATGACAAAAGACAATACAAACATTTCTGCTCATGCATTGAAAGAAGTATCACAGAAAAGCTTGGACATTTAAAAAAAAAACTATAACTAATAGCATTTTATTAAGAAGTGACATGTAAAACTACAAAATCACTTTGACATTAAAATAATAAAAATGTATTGCAGGATTCCTTTAAAAACCAAGTGTTTCCTCGAGCATTTAACAACAGCGCAAAATTAAATACCTGCCGATCCAAGTCAACATATGCATCATTTCCAGAAGAGACAGGAGATTCTTTACTCATTAACTGAAATTAAAATATAAATTATAATTGTGAAGCTAAAAATATATCCTATATAATATGCAAAACAATACAGCCATAACTGGAATAAAAAGTAATGCTGAAAATACAAAAATAAATGTAGTATTTTCCTATAATTATGCTTCTGTATCTGAACCTTTCTGTCACTCCAAGATAATACCTTCATTTAAAATTAGAGGTCTGATAATGTGGAATCAATATTGTAAAACAGAAAATGTTCAAATGGGAAGGGGAACTAGGGAAGAGGGAGGAGGAAAGGAAATAAAGGAAAAGAAAAGAAGGAGAAAATGGAAACTAAGTTTTTGCAAATAAGGAAGGGAGAAGGGGTTGGAGGAAGGGTAGAGGAATAGGGAAAAAAAGAATTAAGGTATATTGTATACATTTACAAAATCCCTACAATGAATGTGATCATTATGTGTACCTAAATGTGCTGATAATTTAATTAAAAAATTAAGAGGTCTGGCTGGGCCCACACCTGTAAACCTAGCACTCTAGAAGGCTGATTCAAGAGAATCGCAATTTGGGTTCACTCCTGGTGAATTAGTGAAAGACCCTGTCGCAAAATAAAGAAAGAGCTGGGGATACAACTCAGCATGAAGGTACCTGGTTGTTGTTGTTGTTGTTTTGTCTTTTTCTTTTTTTTTAATCGGTACCAGGGATTGAACTCACAACTGCCTGCTTGCAAGGCAGGCGCTTATGCTGCTGAGCTAAATCCCCAGCCCCGAAGGTACTGGGTTTTGATCTCAAATACTACAGATACATACATATACACATAATAAAACTAGAGGCCTGATTTCTTGGTGCTCATTTTCATCGTAAGCCTCAGCCACTAAGAATTAACTAAAATTTATTACTAGAAAGATAAATAGTGAAGTTAAAACATGGCTAGGTATTTTTTAAAGTAACTCTACAATATTAAGTCTTTCTTATTTCTAACTACTCAATGTGAGCAACAGTAGTATTAGTCAAAATTACAGGGCTAATGATTAATGCTGAGTGTGTGGATGTACATACACACACCCCTGCATCTTAGCCCTTTCACCCCTGAATGACAGAGAGAAGACCCATAGGGTCTGTGAGACACTGGGAGACGGAGAATTCTGAAGATGGCCAAAGCTGGAGCAGATTCCAGGGGCTCTAATTATCTATGGATTCTTTCTAAGATTCCATCTGAAGGGAAAAGGGCAGAGGGACAATCAGAAATGTGATTTAGGCCTTCAAAGAACTGAAGTGTTACCTTGATTGAGGGGTGCCTTTACCCTGTATCAGTGGTTCTCAACATGAGAGTCCCACACCAACAGTAGCAGCACTGCCCGATCACTTGTCAAAAATGCACATTCTTGAGCCCAGCCCAGATTTACCAATTCAAAAGATCTAGGGTTAGACCTGGCTGTGTCCAGGAAGTCATCCCAGTGATTTGGTACATGCTCTAATTTGAGGACCATCACTCTAACTCAATGAACTAAGAAGGGCAGGAAAGTCCCTCACCACATCTTAGGGAAAAAAAAATCTTGGGATGAGTGAAAAATGGTAGCTTCAATGTTCATGCTTTCATTTCAAGAATATTAATAAATTTTTTAAACGTTTTCTCCCAATTAAAGAAGTTTGGTGCCCATTATAAAGAAAATTTCAGAGAAATTCTGCCATCCAGAAATAGATCGCCTTTATAATTTCAAAATATTTAAGAATTAGTTGCTGTGTCAAACACAGGTATAGCAGGGTTCCAGCAAGAAAAATAAATCAGCAAACCTATTTTGGTTTGGAAAGGCTATGACAAGAACATTCAGAGAGAATATACCTAATTCAGAGGTAGGAAAAAGAAATACTTTCTTCCAGTCTTTCTCCTTTTAACTTTCTTACATTTGAGGATGGCTCTTATCACAGAAGATCGGCAATAATAGGAGTTGCCAAGATGTAAAGACAGAACGCTCAGCTCACTGCCAGTGGAAATGTAAAATAATGTATCTGCTAAAGTACAAACCAGAGGTTGAACTATAGTAAGTCAAGTACCATTTGCCCTGATCTGAAAGAAGACCTCATGAAGTAGTCACTCAAAATAAATGTAAACATTCATGTCCATCGCAACTTAATTTTGAATCTTATTTCATCTGACATTAAATGTCAAATTTTTCCCTGTCATTAAATATTTTTATCAGTTATATTCTATTTGGCTGAAGGTATCTAAAGTTAATGCTGGTGTACCAAAGTATATACATTGTTTTTACATTTTTGTTAATATAAAATAGTTTAATAAACACTGTTATGCTCAAACTTTTTTTTTTTTTTAAAGAGCAGGATATGTTTATTGAGAGAAACAAAGCTTCTGTCCAAGAGAGAGACGGAAGGGGTTCCTAGTGGGTTGCCCTGTTATGCTCAATCTTGATCTGAATTCTATGTTTCTCTGGGATAGAATCGTAAGATGAAAGTTATAGTCACAGATTTTAAATTAAAAATTAGCACTTGTTATGGATATATTATAGAAATAGTGGAAAATATAGAAAAGGCAGCTGTGTATACTCAATGACTCAATACTCAGAACTAGCTCATACAAAGCTCTAGGTTCACTCACCAGCAGCACAAAGAAAGTTAAAACAAAAAACCAGCCAACTAATCAAACAAAAAGGAGTAAGAGTATTCAGCCATTTGGATAGAAATTACTATTTGGGCAACTGGTTTTGCATTTATCTTAATTTTTAATAGAAACAGGATCACATAGTTTTGTGCTTTGTGGTATCTTAATGATCATGACCAAACTGAATCTCATATGATATAAAAAGATACATTTAAATATTCACAAAATAAAAATCACCAGTTTACACAGTGACCATCAGTTCTGACTGACAAACTCATCAACTTTCTAGTTTTAGTTTTTTAAGACAGGACCTTGCTGTGCCAAACTCCTGGGCTCAAGCTCAAGCCTCTTGACTTAAGTCTTACAAGGAGTTAAGAGATACAGTCCCATGCCACTGACTCAGCTTCCACTACTTTTTGACTGTATATACATTTTTCTATTTCCTTTAGGGGTTTCCTCCATTGCTTTTATCATTAAAAACGGTTTAATAACCTCCGATTGACCAGCTATTACTGTGTATTCTACTTCTATTTTCAGGTTTTACATTTAAAATACGAGGGGCTGAGGCTTTAGCTCAGCAGCCTAAGTGCCTGCCTTGAAAGCAGGCAGTCGTGAGTTCGATCCCCAGTACTGATAAAAAGGAAAAAGACAAAAAAAAAAAAAAAATAAAATAAAATAAAATACGAAACTAGGTATTACTTTGGATATGATTTGAGTTGAAAACTGATTTTTTTTTCCTTAAACAGGAAACCAACAGTTATATGTGAGACAGGCTATTGGTTTAACACAGGTATTATTTATTAGTTTTGGAAATCAGTCTACTATTGCTAGCACTTGAAAAACTAGGAATTGCTATATCTACACTTGCCAAGTAAATGTTTAATATTTGAATAAAAATAAGACATTCAAATAAAAACTATGATTTTTCAAATAAAACTAAAGCAAGCTCTATCATAAATGTAAAAGACAAAGTTCTTGGGCTGGCAAGTGAAGCTCAGTGGTAGAGACCATGCGTTAACATACAGGACAGCCTGAGTTCAGTCAAGGAGAGGGGAGAAGAGATGAGAGAGAAAGAGAGGAGAGAAGAGGAAAATAAAATAAAAAGGGCCTTTAAAAATGAGTGTGAAGACTGTCTAAAGTCTACTTCTATTGGAACTCATCTTTGCTCTTTTAATTTTCCACTAATGTAAACATACCTCTTGAATGGCTGTCATGACAACATGCTGGACTGACTCCTCCATCATCATAATGGCTTGGATGTACTCTGCAACAAGAATAATCTGGAAGGTCACTGCTAAGGTTAAAGATAGTCAAAAGGCGGTAAAGGTTAATACTTCCTAAGTTTTTTAGTGGTTCTGGGGATTAAACTGGGCCTCACAAGTGCTGGGCAAGCACTGTTACCACTGAGCTATATTCCCAGCCCTATGAATGTAGTGTCCAGTATTTTGATACTTCTAGGACTCCCTCGTGAGGTTGATGTGCTTCATGTGCATGCTACAATAAAGCAAAAGATGAAAATCACAGTATTTATCTTTCTTGAAGATATTTTTCCCATTCTATATTCAGGTAAGGCTGCAGGTGAGATCAGGAGGGCAGCGTAGCATGAGTGTCAATTAATGTTGATCAATGCAATAGTGAAGCAAAGACCTGAAAGGGAAATACTCCATCCCATTACATCTAAAATCCAAACATATCTTTCCTACCACAGCACAGCAAAAAAAACCCCTCTGAACTCGTGTGGGACATTAAAACACTAATTTGTGTATAATTTGTATTTTTTTTTAGAGAAAAACACTTTATGGAATAAAAACCTGTTTAAAACAAAGAATTAAGATCCATTTAAGATAAAATACGACAGTTAATAAAAATTGTATAATCCTGAGCTTTAAAATAAAGTCCAACACCTGTAACATGTTAAGGTAGCCCCACTGCTGAGAAAAAGACCTCTTAGCTATTTGCATTTAATTTCACTGGGAACAGTTTTTTCCTTCAAATACAATAACATATTAAAAAATAAGCATAAAAAAAACAGAACGACTGGAAGAGCCCAACAAATATGGTAAATGTTTTAATAATATTTTTTCTCAGATCTGAAACACACATGCGTGTGCACATACACACACACACGCACACAAATATCTCCTGATCCCTTAAAGCAGTATATTAAGAGGTCATACTCTTACTGTGAAACATCAAAGTAATCTCGTGATAAAACATATAATATGTGGAATGTCAAAATAATCAAATTTTGGGGACCACAGATAGAGCTCAGTGGCTCAGTACCTGCCTGGCAAGCACAAGGTCCTGAGTTCAAATCACAGCACACACACACATCAAATTTTAACATTCTGGTTGTTAATTCCAAAGCTTTGAGCTTAACAAAAACACGTTTTTAAAAGAAATATTGTCATAAGGATACTGACACTCAACCAAACATTTGGCTACACAAACAAATATAAACAACACAAACCTCAGGCATTGTTCTTACAGCAACAGTAAGAAATTAATAACTTGGCCAATAAGAAATTCTTTCAGGTCAATTTTTTGGTTTTGTTTTCTTAGTGATAATCCCAGTATAAGTGTGGGCTACAGCAAAGTTATGCTTTTAATACATTCAGTTCAAACTCATAAGACATAAAAAGCAGCAAGGTGAGGATGACTAACCTTTGGAATGAAAAAGACTGTGGACATGGAAGGGAAGCAGCACTGTACTGATAACGTGGAAAGGAAATTTAATGGTAGCCCACTGGATGTGAAGAAAGTAACAGTAGGGTAAGAAGGTCATGAAGTTAGTAGGTGTGAGAGGGGAAGCGTTAGTTAAGAAGCGGTGTTGCCACGTCAAGGCCCTTCCCCGCGAACACCGTAAAGTGCTACATGATAAATGATGATGAGAACTACATTAATGTGCAACTCACAGATCTCAAAGTGAGAAATACAATGATAAGGTGCACATCTGAGGTAATGTTGGAGAAAAAGGTATTCCATGTAAGGGAGTTTACCCTGAGTCATAGTTTACAAATAGCCAAATTTTACAAAAAGGTGTAACACGAACATCCCTGAATTTAAATCTGGAAGAAACAAGACTTTGTCCTTGCCTAGCATTTCACAAGTCAGAAATCTTAGCAAGCCATATCTTATTTATGAGTCCCAATTTCTTCATCTGTAAGAAATATTTTTTATTATTAGTGACTGGTATAATACCAGTCAGAGGGTATATCAGAGTATCTTCTACTAGTAATCTTTGCTTTTTCAAATTTACCATCATTTGGGGCTGGGGATTTAGCTCAGCGGCATAAGCGCCTGCCTTGCAAGCAGGCAGTCGTGAGTTCAATCCCCGGTACCGATAAAAATGAAAAAGACAAAAAAAAAAAAAAAAATTTACCATCATTTTATTTCCACCAATTAGAGACGTTAACAAAATAAAAGTACCATTAGTCAAAGTTCTCAGCAGCTGCTCTTTACTTCTAACTGGAAACGTCTAAACACAGAGCCTTTTTATTTGTATAGGGTTTTAAGTATTACAAGGCAAATACAGAGACCTGATTTCATTTGTTCCTCTTTCTTTCTTTCTTTCTGTCTGTCTGTCTGTCTGTCTGTCTTTTTAAGACAGAGTCTCACCATGGAGTTCAGGCTGGCCTTGGGCTCACTTTGTAGCCCAGGCTGGTCCTGAACTCACAAGGATCCTCCTGCCTCAGTCTCCCAAGTACTGGGATTACAGGGGTACACCACCCACACCTGGCATAATGATGAGATTTCTACATGATCATTTTGCAAACTAGGAAACAGGGTAAGCGTCCTCCATTGTTAGGTAGGAAATGGCAGAGCCACTCTGGTGAGCCTTACATTACATATCATATAAACACAATGACAGTTTATTCTTCACAAGTATATGAAACTCATATTTGATTCTTAGCTCCCTATTGTGTTTCAGAGAGTAAAGACTATTCTAAAGCTGGATAACTGAGATGTTAAAATTCCACTAAAAAACATTTCATCACTTATACGACTGCAGGGGGGAAAAACTGAATCTAGGTTGATTTATGTGAGAACTTCAATAAATACTATGATCATCTTTCTATTCCTATACAGGTAATACCTTTGTCTTTTCTCGGTCCTATTCTGTAATAAGAGGTTAGCCAATGCTTAATAACTACACTTTTCCCGGTACCTACACATATTAAATCCCAGAACTTGATGTATTTCCTACCATAATATGTAAGAAGCCATTATCTGAATCAGTGAAGTATTATTAATTTCTCATTCATCTTAAAATGAAAGTATGCTCATTGAGATTTGCCTTTCCTAAATCTCCTTATGTATTTCTAACCTTTGACAAAAAACTCATCAGACATTTCAGAACAAAGATCATGAGTGTACTGAGCTAAATTAAATGAACAGCAAACTAAAATTTACTATTTGAGCAAGGCATGATAAAATTTAAAAAGGGGCAAAAGAGAAACATACATTGTTTTAAAAAAAATCCTGAGCCAAACACCAATACAACTAGTCATGACTTTAAGTGCTGATGCCTTAAACTTACTAACAGAACACCAAAGTACAAAGAACAAATAATGGAAATCTGCTGAATGTTACCAGGTGTGCGGGAAAACAAGGAAAAGCAGTTCTTTGGACTTAAAAAAAAGCCAGTCTTTCTCAGTGTAAGTCGTTGTAAAATGGAGTGCCGTGCTGTCGTCACTTGGAATAGCCCTTACCTATCTATTCTGCTTTATTTCTCTTTACCCCTTCCTACTACAGCTAGTTTTGTGGGGTTAAGTCCATTAGAAACAATCTTTCTAACAACCAATTTATAATAGTGAAGTTACTCTTAACACACTCATCCATAGCTTTGCTTAAATAACTTCTTGGGCTGAATGTCTTGACTGTTCCCCCTTACACTATGCCTCCTGTTACGAGTCATATCTAGATGTTGCCCCCTAAAGCTGCTAGGTGAGGCTTCTGGGAGGTGACTGGATGCTGGGGGCACAAAACTCATTTGTGGATTAGCCCACTGATGAATTTACAGCTAAACATAACGTGAGAGAAGGTGAAGCCTGTTTGAAGCACGTGCACAGTACTGGGGGCATGGCCCAGAAGAGTCCACCTCCCTCCTCTCTTGATCCTTCTCCTGCTTCCTACTGCCTTGCCATGAGTTGTCTCCCCTCAGTCATGTCGCTCTGCCATGCTACTCTGCCTCGGAGCCAGCCAACTGGGAACTGAAACATTTACACACTAGGAGAGAATATAAACCTTGTCTCCTTTAAGTTGTGTGTGCGAGGTCTTATGCCTCAGTGACCAGAAAGCAACTGAGACACCTTCTGAGCCTTTACGACTACCCTGGTTATTTATTTATTCGTATAAATAAATACTTAATGCCTCTCCCCTCCACTCAAGTTCTACCAAGACAGGTACTAAGTTTTCTACCACTTGCACCCCTAGACTCTAATGTATCACTTCAATAAACATTTATAAAATAACCAGTTAAAGGGCAAAAGTACATTTAAAGTAAAACAGTATGTAATAAAGTTGAACAGTACTTTTTAGAGAACAAGTGATCACCATTCAAATGACAGTATCAGTCAGTAGAGGAAACAGAAAAGCTACTTAAGATTAAATGAAGGCTGAAGGAGAAACATCCCAAATTCAAGCCCAGCCAATGTAACTTGGTGAGACCTTGTTTCCAAGACAGAAAGAAAGAAAAAAGAGAAAAGGCCCAAGAATATAGCTCCATGATATGGCCCTGGGTTCAATATCCATAACACACACACAAACTGGAAGAAATTTTAAACAGATGTAACTACAGTATTTGTGTAATTACAGTATCTATGTATTGAAGCTAGCCTTCAATATCTATGTAATTACAGTCTCTATGTACCAAAGATAGTCTTCAAATAACTTCAACAAAAGGCAGATCTGTTGCCTTGGATTTACTATATATATAAAAGTACCATAATTTTCTCCAGTACTCTGAAAGACTGGAAACGGAGCTCAGCCTTGCTTAGTGACTTAGTCAAACCCACTTCAAAAGAAAAAAAAAACTAAAAGTTAGGAATACAGCTCAGTGCAAAAGCCCTGGGTTCAATCCCCAGACCAAACAAACAAGCCAAAAACTAAAACAAAACAATAAAAAGAAACCAATAAAGTATTGTATTTTTCTAACAAAGTATGTACACTAACATTTTTAGACTAGCCTTCTTTAAGTCTACATTATAGTGATTTTACCAATTTACATTCCACACATTCATAGAATATGAATCATTTTAAAACCTGGTATTTTAAAACTCTATGAAACACAATAAAAAACTAAACTAAAATCAGTGATTTAAGATGCCATCTATAATGTTTCCACATAACTTAGCTTGAACACTATGATGTAAGAAACTGTACTATTTTACATAAGTATCTCATTTTTGCCCAGAATAACCTTATGAGGTAGGCACTAAATGCTCTTTTTACTGAGAAACTAAATCACAGAGATTGAATAATTTACCCCATGCTCTCCACACTTTCAAGAGTGGAATCATGTCCTCAAACAGTTGACTAGGCAATGTATCCCGTGCCTTAAAAAGGAGGACACAATTACTTCCTAAACTGCAATTTTATAAACTGAATTAGTAAGTCGGCCAGTATTTATATAATAATAATAATAATAATGATATAATACACTGGGTTAATTTAGTTCTGGAAACAAAGTTGGATATTTTAGATCATAACACAAAGGAAACATGGAAAAATAAAAGATGATAATTCAGATTTACAGTTGGTGAGATCTTTTTAGCATTGCAGTAACACAAGAAAGTCACTCATTTATTTTAAAAGTCTTTGTTCATCTTTGTGAAAACAAATCAACAGATGTCCTTCAATTGCAAGGCTTTATTTTTTTTAAAGCATGTTAGTACGCAATATCCTTTGAGATGCAGTCCTATAGTCCCTAGTACTCAGGAGGCTGAGGCAAGAGGATCTACCACAAGTTTGAGGCCAGCCTAGAAAAGTCAGTGAGATCCTATCTCAAAATAAAAAGTCAAGGATGTGTGAAGCCCTGAGATCAATTCCCAATAATGGAGAAAAACAGACACAGACAGACAGACAGACAGACAGACAGAGACAGAGACTGAGACAGACATAGAGAGAGAAAATTTCATGGTATTTCTGAAAGTTCTACAATTATATAAGTGGAATGAAAAATCTTGAAAATATGCAAATGAATTCCCTCCTTTCAAAGACAATTAAGGTAATATTTAAAATTTAAGGAAGTGGTTTCTTATGGAAGAACAGCTATCAGATTTTGGAACAGGAAACCTAATTACAAATCTATTTTATTTAGAGTCTACATATAATGGTAAATGTTCTCTCTTCTTTCCCCATAATAAAGACGAACTTGTAAATGTTTCAAAATGCATTTTAAAAAAAATCACATAAGGCATCTATGATAGATGTAAGTTAGGAAAGCAGATCTGAATATCCAATGAATTGGCATACATTTCTGTTCATTTGTTGCAAACTAATAGGCAGACCTTGTCCAATCAAGAGTACCTTTTTCTCCAATGTAAGCGTGGTTAAAATGCATTACAAACAAGTTGCTTGGGCAAAGGCATAAATCTGTGGCAGGGTGCTAACCATGCACAAGGCCCCAAGTTTCACCCCTAGCAGCACTACAGTAAAGAAATAATCTATTCAAGGAACTATGTGGTCTTTTTGCTTTTTGTTTTTTTTTTTTAGTCTTTTTCGTTTTTATAGGTACCAGAGATTGAACTCACGACTGCCTGCTTGCAAGGCAGGCGCTTATGCCGCTGAGCTAAATCCCCAGCCCCTGAACTATGTGGTCTTACAGAAAGGAAAAAAATATCATCACAATGAGATTTATTCTAATCTACAAAACTTACTTAAGGCTGCAACAAATTACTTGCAAACTGCAGAAAATGAGAAGTATTAGAAAGGTGCTATTGTTTACACTGGTGCTTTATATATGAGACATATACTACATATTATTTCCTTCAGTACTTCAAATGTATAGACTAACTTCAAATGAATTAATTACCTTGCTTCTGTTCACAATTCACAGCACAGCCTAAAATGAGCTGAAGCATCCTTCCAAGCTCTGCTGCATCAGAATGCTCCCCAATAAGGTTTACATCCGGAAGGGTAAAGTCATTAATCTGCTGACCCAAAATCTGAATGAAGACAAAAAGATTACAATTGTATTCACTTTTATAGGCCAAATAAAATATTTGACAGAGATTAGTTTGCTGTCACCAAAAATTCACTGTCAAGCACACAGCTGTTGGGCCAATGTCACTCCCAACTCCATACCTAAGTTATAACTATCTACATCACAGCAACTTGGTTCTCCATCCTTTATGTGCTTTGTACACTGAGAGAAACTGCATACTACTAATTTCTCTACTGCTCTAAGGAAGACCGCATGTTTGCTTTCTGATAAACTAGAACCAGAAATTTTCAACTAGGGGAACACCACAAAGAGCTGAGTAAACAAAAATTCACACCAACAGTTGAGATTTTCTCATCTTCACTGCACTTGCTTCTCAAAATATTGGTAGCAAAGTATGATGTCAGCATGAATGTAGCATTCCCTTATGGGGAAACTGACTGGAAACAAGTGGAATATGCAAACAAGTGGAAAGATCTCTGCCTGATAACCCCAAAGTGAAATTTAATACTATTAAAAAACCCTGTCAGAGTTCAATCAGATTTTTATAGTACCATGTTTTTAAATATCATCAAACCATCTACAATTATTAAGACATTTTTAAAAAATCTGGAAAAAAAAGAGCGTCAAAGGGAAGCAAACAGTGTAATTAGTGGGAAAAAAAAACTCCTACAAATATATATATATATATATACACACACACACACACATATACATAAAACAGTAAAATTATCAAGAAAAGGAGGGGGCTGGGGGTTTAGCTCAGCGGCATAAGCACCTGCCTTGCAAGCAGGCAGTCGTGAGTTCGATCCCTGGTACCGATAAAAATGAAAAAGACAAAAAAAAAAAAAAGAAAAGGAAAAATGCAATTGTTTAAAAATTCAGGATCACATTTTTTTCTGGCCTAGGAGGTGAGAAAAGAGGTTAGGAAGGCAGGTAAGAGTGGCTTTCAAAGATGGTGGCAATATTTCACAGACCTGTTACACAGCTATAATTAACTATTAAACTGAACATATACACATCAGGTACTTTTCTGAATGCATATTTATTTTATAGTGAAAAGGCAATGTGGGTTGTGGGGAAGGAGGTCTGCTATTCTAACCAGGTGATCAAGGAAAGCCTCTTAAGATAAAAACTGAGCATCAGGGCTGGAGGTGGAACTCATTGGTAGACATATGCTTGGCATGTGTGAGACCCTGGGTTCCAGCCCCAGTACTAAAAAAAGCAAGTAAACAAAACAACACCCCCCCCCACAAGCCTCTGATCTAGAATGAAGAAGCAAACCACCTAGCTAGCAATATATCAGGGAAAAATACAGCACACAAATTACTCCAGGGCCATCTTGAGGTAGAACTTCAGTAACAATCAAGATCAGTATGGCTAAGGTAGATGACATCAAACTGTGAGTAGGGGGCAGATGATTTAGGTCCTTGTGAATTACATCAAGAATACTGATTTTATTCTAAATGATAATGGTAAAATAAACTGAATTAAATGAACACAAATACACCATCAACTTAGATTCAGTTTAATCCCCATGTTTTCTGAGTTACAAAGGATTAAACCCCGTTCCTTTGGGCTGAGCTATATACCCTGTGCCACCCCTCTTTGCAGTCTTGGGAATAAAATGGGTACCGTACTACTGAACTCCAACCACAGTATTTACCATTTTTTATTCTGAGACAGGGTCTCACTAAACTGCCTCAGCTGCTCTTCAATTTACAATCTTTCCTCCTTTAGGCTCCTTCAGTATGGGACTACAGGTGTGTGGCTTTTTTTTTCCTGCAAAGAGGGAATCTTGCTAAATTGCTTGGGCTGAACTCTCTGAAGTTCTTCTACCTATACCTGCCAACATACTAGGATTACAGGCACGTGCTACCATGACTAATTTCTTCCTTGAGAAGAAGTATCAATCTCTAGAAGGATACACAAAAATTGTTCATAATGATTCTTATCAGAACATAATGAGTTAAAACATAAAACATGAAAGTAAAAAGAAACTTCTTTAATACTCTCAAATATAAAATAGTATACCTATAATATGAGAATATATGAAAGCTCTCTTCAGAAAACAAAAAAAAGAGCTCTTGGGAATCAAAAATATAATTGATTTAGGAACAGTGAAAGCTTTAATGGGCAAAATGTTGTGTAATTATCACAGAAGGAGCAAAACACAAGTAAAAAAAAAAAAGAGCTAGGCATAGTAGTGTGCACCACTAATCAGGAGGCTGAGACAGAAGGACTGCAATGAGTTAGAGGCCAATCTGAACTACAGTTCTTTTATTATTTTATTATAAAAAAATAAAATAAAGTTAAGATAATGAAGAATCAATGAGGGAGGCTCAAAGATTGAACCGAATTTTAGGAAACAAAGCAAAGAAACTAATGTGGGAAAAATGAGTAAATATTTAGCCCAGTATGGCAGTGACAGGTATGTGATACCTGTAACTCAGCATTCTGGAAGCCTGTGGCAGAAGGACTAAAGTTCAGGCCCAGCCTGGGCAATTTAAGTGACCTACCAAGACCCTGTCCCAAAATTTTAAAAAGGGCTGAGAATGTAGCTCAATGTGAAGGCCCCAAGTTCAAACTCTAGTATTACAAAAACAAAACAAAATGACCCAAAATCCCCAAGCTAGTAGTTATTCAGTTTTAAAGGACTGCTAAGAACTAAGCATAACCAAGTAACTACTACTCCTCCCTAAAATGTACCTTACACCAAAGCATACAATTGTAAATCTTTGCAATTAAAAAGATGATGTTAAGAATTTTCACAAAATGAACAAGTTACTAACAGGATAGAAATTCCCATGGAAGGCTAAAGCTCTTGAAAGAGTAGCACTGTAATCCAGAGGACAATGTAGTAATAAGACCTTTGAAATACCGGGATTTTCCAACTGAAATTTCACAGCTAACTCAACATAAGGGAGAACTGTAATTATTTTCAAACATACAAAGCCTGAAAATATTACCTATCACACATGCTTCTGAAGATGGTATGGAAAATGTGCTCCACCAAAATAATAAAGAATGCAAACCTGGAAAGGGAAATGATTCAGTAAAAGGAGTACAAGAAAGGACAGAGACAAAGGCATTTCCAGGATAGAGTGAAGATTAAACAACGGAGGCAGGAGAATCATAAATTGGAGCTCAGCCTGGGCAACTTAGTAAAACTTATCTTACAATTAAAAACAGAAAAGGGGCTCAAGATCTAACTCAGTGCAAAGGTCACGGGTTCCACACCCAGCAACAAAAAAAACCAAAACACACCAAAGGTAAAATCAGTTCTATTCTCTAAACTTTTCTCCAGCAGTTCCAGATGCAGGCTGAAGATGATAAAGTTCTAGGGCTAGAGTTTTGCCAAAAGATAAAATGTAAGTAGTAATGGAGTTGGCTTTAATGGTGCACAGGCTCTCAAGTTCCTTCACAAGTAAGAGATGAACAGAGAGAATCATTAATCAACATAAAGTACAGTCTAACGAAGTAGTGATCATCAACAAAATACCCATAATATAATGGACAATGCTCATCTACTCATCATCTAGTAGGTGCCGGTAACAGCATCCTACAAACAGTACAAGAAGACAAACTACATTTTGAAGGCAATTTTTCCTTAACTTGAAGTTTACCCCATAAATTTCAGACACAATGAGGAAAAAAAATCCTTACCTCATGATTATAATCCAGGATTCCTTTTAAAATTTTCTTTAAATTGCTAATCTGTTTAAAAAGAGAAACAATGGCATAAAAGGCAAACATAAATACAACATAGTTTAACATAAAAAATTATCATCGTAAGTATTTTCTCACTGACAACAGGGTTTGCAACCAACAAACATACTGTGACTTGGTAAATATATTGTAACTCCTTATGTGTGTGGTAGATCCCATTGTAACCCTCATTCTACAATGTGGAAACTGAGTTCTATAAAGGTTAAAGATTTCTCCACAGCAAAGAAAGGGTGGGGATGTCATTTGGACACAGGTGCTCTGGCTCCAAAGCTCATGCCCTCACACACTGTGTTTTACTGCCTTAATTATGTTGCATTTAATGAGCCATTTAGGTTATTTCCATTTCTTCTATTTCAGATGATTTCACCATTGGCTGAGTTTCTAAAGCTCACTAGACTTATTAGATAAAAATCTAACAATTATACACATAAAATATTTACAGATGGAAAAACAATACCTTTAGTCTCCAATTATCTCCCACTTCAGTTTTGATTCTGTTTAGCCAATTTTCATCAAAATATGTAGGATCTCTGCAATTAAGGAAAGACTAGTATATTAAGATCATGAAGGTATCATGCTAAAAAAGAAAATAAAACTGAATCTTATCCTGTATCATTACTTCAATGAGCTATATAAAAAATGTATTTGTCACATAACAGCCACTACGTAATTATGTATGAGCAGCTGTAATCACTCTATGACAGATTTTTTCTAAAAGCAATTATTGACTCACTATAAAAACATCAAATATCTTTCCTTTTTATAAGAAAAGCTAGTAAGTAGTTAATATACTTTTAGAAGTTATAGTTGAATATACGAAGCTGGAATTAACTGTAGATACCATGCAAATATCCAGAAACAGATTGAAGTCAAATTTTTCAGTTAATATTTCAATCATTTTCTTCACCTAATATACAAAGTCACCAACAATGTCACTAAACTTCAGTTCCTTCATACAACACAAACTGGAAACCTATTTTCTCAGATGTAATACTAATTAGACCAAGCTGAATATCATTTCTGTTTGCAAAAGAACCAAGTACTGCTGTACACAAATACACTGAAACAAGAATACAATCTAAACATGTATTTTTCCTAGTGAGAATTCCATATTTCTAGCAAATGGTAGGATAAAGACTCCAAACTTCTGAAACTAAGTATGAACTTCATCTTAATATTTTTCAAACTTTAAGAAATGACCGAAGTCCAAGACCACAGTGGAACACCTATATTTATCCTGGTCTAGTAGTAACTGCTAAGTCCAAGATCTTTGCATAACACCACAACTGACTTTTTTTCAACCAAAGAACAGAGTAGCAATGAGATAGGTTGGGAATAAAAGCTACATTTAAACTTTTACTGTAACTCAAACTGATAGGTATAATCAATACTAAGTTTTAATTCACGTTAGCTTTAAATAAGTAACATATTACTTAGCAATTTTAACTTTTATTATGAAGAAAAACATATTTATTTAAGTAATACATACATATTAATATGTATAGCCAAATTACCTCTACAGAAATCTATTGAGTTTTCAAGCCGGTATGTTTTGATTTTTTTTTTTTTTTTTTTAGAATGCAGAGGGAGGGATGGGAGGAAGGTATCCTTTAGACAGGGTCATGCTATGCAGTCCAGGCTGATCTTGAACTTCCTATGTACCTAAGGCTGGCCTCAAACTCAAAATCTCCCTGCCTCAGTCTTTAAAGTACTGAGACTATAGGTATGTGCCAACACACACAGCCTTAAAGCCTGTATCTTACTACCTGAAACATACTAACTTTTCTATCTAGTCTCAAAAACAGCTTAATGTTCTTATTGTGAAATACAATTCATATAGCATACAATTTGCCCAAAGTATACAAGCAGTTTAATATATTACACTCAAAATTATGCAAGCATCACCACAATCTAACCTCAGATTTCATCATCACCCCAAAAGAGCTTTTACTTATTAGCTATCATACCTTATTTCCTCTTCTCAGTTTCTAGAAACTGCTAATGTACTATACCTCCACGAAGTTGCCTATTCTGGACACTGCATTCAAATAAAATAATATGTGGTGTTGTCTGTCTTGTTCATTAGAGTGTTTTTGTTGTTACTGTTGCTATTGTTGTTGGACACAGGGTTTCACTCTATAATGCAAACTGGCCTCAAAACCGCAATCCTTCTCTCTGCCTGCTGAGTGTTGGGACTGTAGGTTAGGTAAGCATCAAAACATCCAGTTTAGAGTGTGTTAAGGTTTATTCTATACTGCAACTTGCATTAAAACCTTGCTTCTTTTTAAGGCTATACTGCAACTTGCATTAAAATCTTGTTTCTTTTTAAGTTTTATAGGTGTACTGCCAAGTACTACATAACATTGTGGCCAATCATAGCATATTACAATGGTAATCTTGTAAGATTATACTGCCTAGTGATGCTGTAAGCTACCTTATTTTCTATTGTAAGCACGCTGTATGATGTCTGCATAAAAATTACCTAATGACGCATTTCATAATGTCCCTGCCATTAAGTAACACATGACTACCTCATGTTTTGTCAGATGATGTACACATGGCAATATTTCTACTTTTTAGCTATTGCAAACAATAACTTGTGTTGACGCTTGTCACCAGTTCCTGTGTGGACATTTCATCTAGGTAAATGCCTAACAGTAGAACTGCTGGGTCTCTTGATAAATCCACGCTTAACACTGAAGCAAAACCAAACTGTTCCCAGGTAACTGCATCATTACACACTCCTGCCAGCAATGTATGTGGGTTCCAACCTTTTCTTTTTCTTTTCTTTTTTTTTTTTTTTTGTCTTTTTCATTTTTATCGGTACCGGGGATTGAACTCATGACCGCCTGCTTGCAAGGCAGGTGCTTATGCCACTGAGCTAAATCCCCAGCCCCAGGGTTCCAACCTTTTCACAGCCCTGCCAAGGTATTATCTGTTTAGTGACAACAACCCAAATGAATGTGAAGTGGTTTCCCCTTGTAGCTTTGGGTTTCTCTGATGGCTAATGATAGTAAATGACCATTCATGTCTTTTTTTTTGGTCATTTGTACATCCTCTTTGGTCTATTCAGATTGTTTGCCCCTAGGAAAACTGGTGTACACCAGTAAATCCAGCAGAGGCAAGCTCAAGCTCAGCCTGGGCAAATTAGTGAGACTTTATCTCAAAAAATAGCTGGGGAAGCAACTCAGTGAGAAGGCTCTGGGATCAATCCTTAGTGCTGCAAAAAAGAAAAATTGGGGTGTTCTTCATTATCAAATTGCAAGCATTTTTGTTCTTTTTGTTTTAAAACTCAGGACAGAAACATTATATATAATTTCTCACCTGCCTTCCTGCTTTCTTTCTTTTGCTCAGGGTCTTCACACTGAGCTATATCTCCAGCTTTTACAAATTTATTTTGAGAGAGGGTCTTACTAAACTGCCCAAGCTGGGGCAAAACTTGCCACTTCTCCTGCCTCAGCCTCCCAGAGTGCTGGGATTACAGGTGTGAGATACCTTGCCCAGCCACTTTTCATTTTCTTAATGGTCAACACTTCACACACAGGTTTTTAATTTTGAGAAAAAACCCTACCCTGTATTTTTTGGTGTCACATCTAAGAAACCTGGGCCTAATTCAAAGTCAAAAAGGCCAGGTATATAGGGGCTGGGGATTTAGCTCAGCGGCATAAGTGCCTGCCTTGCAAGCAGGAGTCGTGAGTGAGTTCAATCCCTGGTACCGATAAAAAGGAAAAAGACAAAAAAATAAAAAAGGCCAGGTATAGTGCGCATGCCTGTAATACCAGTACTCGGGAGGCTGAGGCAGGAGGACTGTTGTGAATTTGAGGCCAACCTAGGCTACAAAGTGAGTTCAAGGCTGGCCTGAACTGCGTAGTGAAACCATGTTTCAAAAAAGACAACAAACAAGCAAACAAACAAACAGAAAACCAAATAAAACCCCACAAAGTCAAAAATTTACTCCTATGTTTTCTTGTAAGAATTTTATATACTTTTGGCTCCTGTATTTGGGTCTATGATTCATTTGTATATAGTGACAGGAAGGAGACTAACTTCACTGTTTCATCTATATTTAATTTTGTGTTTTGTAGTTGAGGTTGTTTTGCTTTTAAGAGAAACCAATTTAAGCAAATTTATGCAAGAAAAAGGGCTATGTACTTAAAGAATACTGAGCTGTGTTAATACTAAGCACAGCTGAGTCCAAGAAAATATTGGAGTAAAAACCCAGACAATATTAACTTTCACTTTTTCTTTTTTCTGCCCAATCCATGCCATTTTCTTTCTTCAGACTAGCTTTTTTTTCCCTTGTATACAAACAGTATACAAGGCTAGAAATCGCTACATATCCATTCCAAAACTTTTATCACTTTGGTTCCAATAATGAAAGACAGCTTGGCATATAATTTTAATTCTAAATCCCCAGGAAAATTCAAATGTTCCAGTCACTGTTCTGCATTCCTGGTCCAATTATATGTAGCCAGTAGGAGACAGTGCTACAAGTAAGACATACATGTTTGCAGGTAAGGACCAGGACGACTATCAGAGAGGTAGGCTGGTAGGTAAACCAGCTTCCAACTGTTCTTCACTCAGAATCTCTTAAGAAAAACAGATAGCACAAAAGAAAATAGCAAAGTGGATTTTACTAAAATATTAAAGAACTATCTTAAAGATCACAGAAGTCAGAAATTTTTCACTGTTATTTTTGATACTAAGATAGTCTTGCCAGGCATGGTAGCACACACCTGAAATCCTGGCACTCGGGAAGCTGAGGTAGGAGTACCATGAGTTTGAGGCCAGCCTGGGGTACATAAACAAGCTGAAGGCCAGCCTGTATTATGTAGTGAGACTATCTCATAAATAAATAAATGTCTAAAAAGCTATAATCTAAGAATTACAATCATGGCAATCAAGTGTCAAATCTTTTCAATAAAAGAAACTCATGAGCAGGATCATCTGTAAATCCAGTGCTGTGTACTCCTGGGGCTGCTGGTTACCCAAAGCCCAAGATTCGCTAGCTGGGTGGGAAGACAGGTTCATAAAGCTAAAAGATACTTGCATGTCACCAGAGAGTCTTGTAAAAATGCTTTAGAATATCTAACACATTCTGATTTACTATGAGTACTGCAAGGTCCTGAAATTCTTCTTTGGCAATTTAGAGCAATATTTCACATGAATAAAACAGAAAAGTCTGAACAGAATGTTTCAAATTGAAGATGATGTAGTTTGCTTGTTCCTTAAAAAATTATTAAATGACACTTAATAGTCATGTCTGAGCTAGCAAAAGAAGACAACAAAAACAACTGCTAGTATCATATATGCCATATATTATTACATCAGGAATGTACCCTATTGCATCATATGCGAGCACTAGCAGTCATAGCAGTACTACAATGAGGGGATGACTATTATGTTACAGTTATTTTCACAAGTTCAGCCACACAGTTCAGTGGCAAAGTTCACAATACAATCATTTTATCAAATCAGAATTCACCATATAACTGGTCTTAGCAAAAACAAACACAAAATACTACACTCC